TAAGCCCCACCTGGGCCAGATCCGGCCTCCAGGCCTTGAGTTTGACACCCCTGTTCTAAGCCATGAATGGCAAACTACAATGTCCAGTTCATACATGCTAATCCATGCAATTTTTTTAATTATTTTTTTTAAATTTGATTTATATGCCGCCCTTCTCCAGAGACTCAGGGCGGCTTACAGTGCGTTAAGCAATAGCCTTCATACTTTTGTATATTTATACAAAGTCAGCTTATTGCCCCCACAAACTGGGTCCTCAATTTACCTAGCTTAGAAAGGATGGAAGGCTGAGTCGACTTTGAGCCTTGGCGAGATTCGAACCTGCAGTAATTGCAGGAAGCTGGTCTTAATAACCAGCTTAATAACAGGGTGCCTTAGACCACTGTACTACCAAGGCTCTGGCAATATATAAGAAAACCCTAATATGGCTTAATGAAGTGTGTGAACATACTGTAGATAACATAATGCTAATTCAAGAATGAATTATATGCAAATCAGAAACAGATTTGCATATAATTCTAGGCCACCTAGAATCTTATTAAGCCAGAACCTATCTACATTATGAATTAACATGATATGCAAGGTAGGCAATGGAAGACAAGTTGCTTCCAGACTTGGAAGGACTCCCTGATAGATTGTCATTCAATAAAGGAAAGAGTTGCTGGAGGCGTTAAATATGCAAAGCACTCCTGGCTTCCATCATCAGACAGAATCTTGGGTTTGCATTTCCTGTTAGAGCTGCCTAACACATTGGATTTGATTCCAGAAAGATGCCTCAGCGCTTGCAGCATCTGTCTGCACATCTTCAAAGCCGCTGTGTCTTTTTTCCCCGGACTGCACAGTCAGTGATGAAAATTGTACAGTCCTGAGAAAAGATGCAGCTATTTTAAAGGGTGGTGGTTATGCATTTACTTGTGCGTGCTCCGAGGTACTTTTTAAGATTTTTTTTTTCCCCTTAATGCTGGTGGTCTGAATGCTGGCAGAGTGGAAAAAGTAGTCTCGATTGATGCTGAGCTGATATTCTATCCGCGAGGAAGATTTGGAGGGGGAAAATATCATTGGTTGTCTGGATCGGCCGCATCATTCTGCTGTGTGCAGAATGGATCTTCCCAAGAAGTGCGGTGTAGAAAAAGGGGAATCTATGCAAATGATTGAAATTAGTAGTGGGGCCAGGACAGAAGCAATGTAATTAGTAGGGCATGTGAGAGCGAACATCCTCTTAATCAGCTCTTGCCTGGCAGGCTGAGCAAGTTAAAACTTGGACAGCCTCTTGTCAAACTGTCACACCACAATCCAACGTGTCCAAGAGACTCAACATCAGCACTTGGCACCCGGCTTCTCACACCCCTTCCGTGGTCCTCCTCCTTTAATTAAAGTTTGCCTTCCAGGTGCAAGCAAACCATTATTATTCCACTGGATTTCTCTACCGTGTTCATTTCCTGCAGCATGCCTGATGTAGCCTTGCTGTAAGCATTGCAGGAAATGTAGGTGGCAGATTAAGGAATGGGTTTGGAGCACTGCTAATGCATTATTAATGCTCACGTGGCCAGCGAGAAAAGAGGAAGGTCCCTAGAGCATTGTCTGCCTGGAGCCCCTTCCAGACTAGACAACTCGTTGTAGCCAACTCGCCACGGGGCAGCTCACTGTGGGACAATTCAACAATTCAATTTAACTATTTATAATAATTAAAAAATATTTTATTTTTTTTGTCATCCACATTTCATTTTGTCCCTCCTTTGGCCTCCTTTCTTCCATGAGCCTATTCTACTATTATTCTACTATTATTTTACTATTATTCTACTATTCTACTATTATTCTATTCTACTATTATTCTACTATTATTCTATTATTCTACTACTATTCACCTAGCTAGCCTGACAAGGTGGCTCAGTAGCTAAGATACTGAGCTTGTCAATCAGAAAGGTTGGCAGTTCAGCGGTTCGAATCCCTACTACAGGTCTCCTGCATGAGCAGGGAGTTGGACTAAATGACCTCCAAGGTCCCTTCCAACTCTGTTACTGTTATTATTTCTTCAATATTAGTGTAACTCTCATCCAGCAACGAGTTGTCCTGGGGTGAGTTGGCCGCAGAGAGTTGTCCTGGGGTGAGTTGGCCATGGTGAGTTGCCGTAGATACCCCACCCTGAATGTAAGGAGTCCTCAACTTGAATTCAACATTCAATTCAACATTCAACCTGAATGTAGGAGCCCTGGTAGTGCAGCAGACTAAAGCACTGTTATTAACACCAGCTGCCTGCAATTACTGCAAGTTCAAATCTCACCAGGCTCAAGGTTGACTCAGCCTTCCATCCTTTCGAGGTAGGTAAAATGAGGACCCAGTTTGTGGGGGCAATAAGCTGACTTTGTATAAATATACAAAAGGATGAAGGCTATTGCTTAACGCATTGTAAGCCGCCCTGAGTCTCCGGAGAAGGGCGGCATATAAATCAAATAAAAAAAAAACTTACAACCGAAATTGGGACTACAGTTGCTGCTGCTAAGCAAGGTAGTTGTGAGTTGGTCCTGACTTTGGAGGCTGAGATGAGTGGGGAGGAAGAACAGCTGGGGCCTGCTCCATGTGCATGTATGCGCAGAGCTGTTAGGAGAGGAGAACAACTGAGGACAAGGAATTGACTCAGGAAGCAAAGCACACATGGACACTGAATGGCCTCTTCCTGGCTGGGGAATAACTAGAAGGAAAGGGGAGTGGCGGTCATAGGAGACAACCGTTCGGATTTCTGAAAATTTGGCTCATCGTGTTTCGTGTCTCAAAGACTGCTTGCCAGAACTTAATTTGCAGCTTTGCGGCTGGGAGCTCACCTGGCAATTATCACAAGGAACTGATAAGGTCTGTTACTGCAGTTAACTCTTGGAAGGACTATTGCCTGGACTTTTCAGTTGGGTGAATGCCATTCATTCACAGGAGATACATAAAGAGGGTTTTTTTTCTTCGTGACAAGGAGTCTGTTTCTTGTTTCTGCTAAGGCTGGATCAGAACAACTATTTCCACCTTCAACCAATATGTACAGTTGTCATCTCAGAAGAGTTGAAGAAAAAACACAGCCCAGGATTAGCTGACCTTTTGTACAGCCCTCTCAAATGGGGAAAAAGCGGTGATGGATATAGATTAAAATAGACACATGGTAATCCCCTTAGATAAAATAATTGCTGTGATTAAAAAAAAAACAATGCTGCAGACCCTGCTTACAATTCTGAGAAAGATTACGATCAGGTTAACCAGCAGCAGCATCTGATTATAAATCTTCCCCCTTGCGCTTCTTTTATCTTTAAATTGAACTGGACAACTTTTCAAAAATGGTTTTGCTTTAATATAAAGTAGGCCAGATCGCCTTAGGAAAAGGGCCAGAACAACATTAAGTAGGAGGATTCCCGTTAGAAAGAGAAAAAGGGCGCTGGGAGGTGTTTTATTTTTTTTACAAATCCTTCACTTGCAATTATCTCCCCTTATGCATGTATTTTATACTCACACTCGCACACATATCTGATCATCTAATAGACAAACGTAGCAACAGTCTTCAAGAACAAAAACGTTAGAAACAATTCCTGCAAACAATTATACACACACTTAAAAAGCAGCAAGGAAAAAAAAATGCAATGAATGAAATGGATAAGTTGCCCTAAGGCTGTTTAGTTCATCTATTTCGGTATTGTTTGAATGGACCACTGCTGCCCTTCTCCGGAGACTCAGGGCGGCTTACAATGCGTTAAGCAATAGCCTTCATACTTTTGTATATTTTATACAAAGTCAGCTTATTGCCTCCACAAACCGGGTCCTCATTTTACCCACCTTAGAAAGGATGGAAGGCTGAGTCAATCTTGAGCCTGGTGAGAATTGAACTCGCAGTAATTGCAGGCAGCTGGATGTTAAATGCTGCCTTAGTAGGAGGCATTAGCCTCCTACGCCACTCAGGCTCCTTCTCAGGATATCCTGGGAAATTCTGTCTAAAAATTACGTATGGCAGCCTCTTGTTTTGCTTGTTGTCCTCAGAACAATCTGATCCAGGGATGTCAAACTCAAGGCTCAGGGACCGGATTCGGCCTATGGGGTGCTTAGATCTGGCCCCGGGGGGGGGCTGCCCTGGAAACAACGAAAGACCAGCCCGCGGTGCCTCTGCCAGCGACAACGGAGCTTGCGAGGGCTGCTCCCAAGTTTTGTTTTTGCTGGCTGAGAGTTGCAGGAGGCCATCTCAGGTCAAAACGGAGCTCATGAGCCCATTTTTGCTGGCAGAGAACTCAGGCCACCACAGGCACCCGCAACACAAATGATGTTGAGCTGGCCATGCCCCCCCCTCCCCGAGGTCAAACATAACCCTAATGCAGTGGTGAAATCAATTTTTTTTACTATCGGTTCTGTGGGCGTGGTGTGGCTTGGTGGGTGTGGCTTGGTGGGTGTGGCAGAAGGATACTACAAAATCCCCATTTCCTCCCCACTCCTGGGAGAAGGATATTGCAAAATCTCCATTCCCACCCCACTCTGGGGCCAGCCAGAGGTGGTATTTGTCAGTTCTCCGAACTACTCAAAATTTCCACTGCCAGTTTTCCAGAACCTGTCAGAACCTGCTGGATTTCACCCCTGCCCTAATGCGGCCCTCTATGAAATCAACTTTGACACCCCTGATCTGATCCTTTCTCTTTCTCTCCAAGAAAGATCTCCAACCTCTTGATAAATTGCACGGGAGGGTTTGGTAGCGTTGGTAGCTAGCTGCAAAGCTGGCCAGAATTTCAAAACTCTTGGTGGACAATGAACAAGCAGCAGGGTGTGGTCTTTAAAGACATTAAGATACCGGGGATTGTTATGTTTTTGTGGAACATTATGTCCCTGATGACCAGAATGCTTTCTTCTCTGTTTGTGCAAGAAGTGGCTCAAGATGAATGAAATCGGCCTCAATAACCTGCCCTTGGCCACCAGCCGGATGAGGGCAGTGTGGAAACGTTGAAGAGCTGGTACTCTATGGTTGATATCTGCCCTTTCTACCTTTGCAGATGTGGTGGTTGTGGAGATGAGCAACAGCTTGTGTCAGCCTTCACTTTTCTATCACCTGGGAGTACGTGAGAGCTTCAGTATGACCAACAATATTCTCCTTTGCTGCTATACCGATCTTCCAGAATTGCAAGCTCTCCGTGTGAGTATGGTCACCGTGCAGTTCCTATAAAAGGGAATATACATAGTCACAGGGTTGAATTGTACAGTCCTTGATGCTCTCTGAGCTTGGTTATTTGCTTAGAGATGTTTCATTACCCAACTGTCTGGACTACTATAATGCTCTCTACATGGGGCTCCCCTTGAAGAGCACTCGGAGGCTCCAACTGGTCCAGAATGTGGCCGCGTGGGTGATTATGGGAGAGACACGGCAAACCCATGTAACACCTCTCCTGTGCGAGCTGCACTGGCTCCCGGTGGTCTTCCGGGTGCGATTCAAGGTGTTGGTTACCATCTTTAAAGCGCTCCATGGTTTAGGACCTGGGTACTTACGAGATCGCCTTCTGCTACCGATAGCCTCCCACCGGCCAATACATTCCCACAGAGAGGGACTCCTCAGGGTGCCATCGGTCAAACAATGTTGACTGGCGACCCCCAGGGGGAGAGCCTTCTCTGTGGGGGCACCTGCCCTCTGGAATGAATTGCCCCCGGAGATACGAATGATCCCTGACCTACGCCATGCCCTCAAGACCTTATTGTTTCAACAAGCTGGGCTGGCCTAAACATGAATTTTAATGATTGTTTTAGTTTTTTAATAAGACGGGGGCCAATGTCAAGCTTCGTTGTCATCTCCAAATAAATGAATTTCCAAACGCCCGATCTTTGAGGAAATTCTTCTCTTTATTGAGCATAACGAACTGACCCTGACTCAATGCGCAGTTAGCACTGAACTTTGGCCCCCCCAAAACCTCTCTTTCCGGTTCCCAATTCTCTGCGTCTCATTGGCCATCTTCCAAGCCACACTTCTCATCCCATCTCCGTTAGTTCACAGGAATGTCCCCCCTCCCATCCCATCTCCGTGGAGACAGTTCTTCAGGGGAATTAAGTAGGTGAAAGTTCAAGCCTCTCCTCTCCTTCCTTATGGCAGCTTGGAAGCTGACAGTCAAATTGTTTAATATATTTTTTAATTGTTTTTAAATTTTTTGTATATATTTGTTTTAGTGTTGGCTGTGCACCGCCCTGAGTCCTTCGGGAGAAGAGCGGTATAAAAATTTAATAAATAAAAATAATAACTAAGTAACAGCACCAGTGCTATGATAATACATCCGTGCTATCCACAGCACTTGGGGATGTTACCTAGTTGGATAATGAAACCTCTGCAAGCAAACAACCAGGCTCAGAGAGCACCAAGAACTTCACAGTGCAATTTGTTAGGAGGCACATTTTGGAGATTCAGCCGTACTGAGAAGTTCAGGCTAGGTTGCTTTGAATCAACTGTTTCTATGACAGAAGGAAGCAGGTATCAGACTTCTGGTATCTACTTTTCAAGGAACCGAAGCACCAGACCTCTTATCGTTTTTATTAAAGATTTTTTGTTAAAGATAAAAAAAACTAATGCAAATTAACCTAAAGTAAGAAAAAGAAAAGAATAAGGAAGAATTAAAAGAAAAAGCTAAAAGTGCAAGGTAAGGAAAAAAATAAAAGAGAAATAGAAAAGAAAGAAAGATACAAAGTAGCTTCTGCTCTCCTTTACTGCAGTTGTAAGTACATTTATAAATTTACCCCTTTATTTATGTAACTACTTTATAGTTACAACATAACTTGCTTCTATCTGTAATCTACCCTATCTAATCATCAAAACCATAAATCGTAAGTTTGGTTTTTGTTCTGTTTCATGCAAAACGTCTAATAAGGGATTTCCAGTAAGCAATAGACGTAGATGTTATCTTTTCTCTGAACAAAGAAGTCGATTTGACTATTTCAGGAAGTTCCATCTTCATGAACAACCATTCCTCCATTGTGGGTAATGTCAAATCTGTCCATCTTTGTGCATTCAATAATCTGGCTGAAGTTATCATGTGCAAAAAATAAAGTTCCCTAACTTTTTCAAACTGGTTGTCTAGCAGTCTCAAAAATAAATCTGGTCTTAATCTCAAACCAGTGTTATCCATCAATTCTATTTGATCTTCTATTTTTAAATTGTTTTGTTAACATCTTCATCTTCCGTTTATCAATCTTAAAGCCTACTCATATATCAAAAAATTGCAGGTTAATTGCATGGTTAAAGATGCTGAGCTTGTCAACTGGAAAGCTGACAGCCTGGGTTTGAAACTAGAGTGATGGAGTGAGCTCCCGTTACTTGCTCCGGCTCCTGCCCACCTAGCAGTTCAAAAGCATGCAAATGCAAGTAGATAAATAGGTACCACTTCGGTGGGAAGGTAACAGTGTTCTGTGTGCCTTGGCATATAGTCATTCTCGCCACATGACCATGGAACTGTCTTTGGAAATGCTGACTCCTTCAGTTAAGAAACTGAGCTGAGCACTACCCCCTAGAATCAGACATGACTGGACAGGGCTAATCTTTACTTTTACCTTTATATCAAATTATTTTAATTTGCCCATTAACATTTCAATTCCCTTTAAAGGATCTTCCAGAACAAATACCAAGTGATCTGCAAAAGCTCTTAATTTATAGCTCTTTTTAAAATCTTTATTCCAACAATCGTCTGATCTTGTTTTATATCTCTATTCAGTATTTCAAGAACCAAAATAAACAAGAGGCGGATGGAAGCCCTGCCTTGTTCCTTTTTGTATCACTCATGGCTTTATTAGATCTCCATTAACAATTATTTGTGCTTTCTGTGAAGTGTAAATCAATCTCTTCTGTCCAAAATTCATATCTTCCAAAACCTCAAACAGGAAATCCCAATTTAAATTGTCAAAAGGCTTTCTCTTCTTCTTTGTTTTTCAAAAAGTTGCTTCAAATTCTCCAAAATGTCCAACATATTTCTAAAATTGTCCTTTTGTTGTTGCAAAATTATTTTCAGTCCGTCAGTTTCTGATGAGGATTTATGTTGTGTTTTCCACATTTCTAAAATAAATTTTGGAAGTAGAGAGTCATCCCAAAGGTGCTTTTTCAAAAGGCAACTGGACTCTGCTTTTCCTTGAAGATGTTTTACTTTCTGACCCAAGATGCGAAGCGAAACATCTTTAAGGAAAAACGAAGTCCAGTTGCCTTTTGAAAAAACATCTTTGGGACAACTGTGACTTGGATGACTGAGAATCTCCATAGGCATGTAGAGAATCATCATTTTGACATATCTGTAGTGGGAAGGCCGAACTAGAAATGAATTTTTTCATGTAAGACTGCCTAGGGCAGTGATGGCTAATCTTTTCCGGACCGAGTGCCAAAAGTATGCGCACATGTGCATGAATGCTTGCGCGTGGCACCTGAACCCCCAAAATGCAAGCACGCGCCCCTGTGCATGCAGTCCCTAGTGCAGTGATGGCTAACCTTTTTGCCATCGTGTGCTAGGAGAGGGGGAGTGGGGGAGGTTCGTGCGTGCGCGTGCCCACACCCATAACTTATGCGCGTGCATGCGCTTGCAACCCCCCTCCCCCCTGCTCCTGGCACATGATGGTCTGGTAGGCCTCTCTAGGAGTCTCTGGAGGCTGGGGACAGCAAAAAAGTCACTTCCTGTCCCACCAGGAGTTGGGAAATGGGCCCTTTCAGGCCTCCGTAGGGCCTCCAAGGGAGTGGGAAAGGCTGTTTTCGCCCTCCGCAGATGCATAGAGGATCTGGAGCCAGGTAAGAAAGAAAAATGGACCTTTCCCCCCCTCCCAGGCCCTCCGGAGGCAGGAAAGAGCCTGTTTCCCTACTTCTGGTGGGTCCAGAAGGCCCGAAAATCAGCTGGCTGGCGCACGCATGCATGCCAGAGCTGAGCTGGCGTGCCCACTGATATGGCTACGTGTGCCACCTGCGGCACACATGCCATAGGTTTGCCATCATGGCCTTAGTGCATACATGCACATGCCCTGCATGTGCCCCACCCCCCACCTGCCACGCATGTGCACGCAGGCCCCCTGCATGTGTCACGCGCCCCCCGCATGCACGCACACCCCCACACATGCCACACACACATCCATGCACACCCCCTGCCCCCCACGCATGCACACCCTCCACATGCAGCACCCCCCCACATGTGCGGCAGAGACCCGACAACCAGCTGGGCAGTGGGAGGCGCGCGTGTATGCACAGCAGAGCTGAACTGGGATGATGGCTCATGTGCCCACAGAGAGGGCGTTGCATGCCACCTGTGGCACATGTGCCATAGGTTCATCATCACGGGCCTAAGAGGTGAGAGAAATTCCATTTCCTTTTTCCAAGAATGTCTACATGGATTCACACTCAGAGACTTTTAGCACACCTCCGTCTTCATGCAGTGTATTTAAGAACAGGACTGGGGCAGGGAGGGGAATCTTGCCTTCCTGTCCCAGAGTGGGTTTTTCCAAGTGATTTCTCAACATATTTCCATAGAGGGAAAGGACATAGGTATTCTAAGAATAGAGGAAACTGCTTTCTGCTGAGTCATGCTCTTGGAAGCTCAGGGTCAACCCCACCCCAGGCAGTAACTTCAGCAACCTCTTCCCAACACACCTTAATGGGCAGATGTCTATGGAGCTTCTCAGTCATCCAGGTCATGATTGCCCCAAAGGTGCTTTTTCAAAAGGCAACTGGGCTTTCTGGTTTTTCTTTGCAGATGTTTTGCTTCTCATCCAAGAAGCTTCTTTAGCTCTGACTGGATGGTGAGGAATGGAAGGATTGATACTCCTTGCTGGTCATTTGCATCCTTTTATCCAGTGGTTAACACGGGAGAACGAACCCATCAGGACTTAGATTCAGCAGTCCATCTGCATTCATTTAAAAGAGAAAAGTCGCTCTTTTGAAGACAGCAAAGTCCACATTTTGGACAGAGAGGCTCACTGGTTTGAAAGAAGGGCCATCTATGGCAAAATTGAACAGCCCTCTCTCAACAGAGGGGAAGGGATACAACATCATTGATCCTCAGTCTACAACACAGTCCTTTTCAACAGTTCCAAGAAGGCTCCAAACCCATTTGCACCACTCAGGTGACCCTGAAGACACAGATAAAACCTCCAAGTGGCCTCAACGACTCTCTAAAAGGATGCAAATGGCCAGCTGTCTGCAAGGAGTATAAATCCTTCCATTCCCCACCATCAGAAATCAGAAAGTGCAAATAGATTCCGTTGCACACACGCGCATGTGGAAATCCTCAGAGCGAGCTTGCGAAAAATATTGTTGGCTGCTGCTCTTTGGTTGCCGCCAACTAATTTTCAACTCGGTGTGGTTAATAATTGATTAAGATCCACAGTTAAGTCAGACCGACCGAAATTAGTGAAGCTGAAATAAATTCAGGAACGAATCTGTTTCCATTGATTTCTATCAGCCGGCTTTCAGTATGAGTAATCTCGGGTTGAACCCTATACCACCAAGCTATTGCTATTTAAAATTTGACAGATGGGATACAGATCGTTTCGCTAGTGTTTGAGTTTAAATAGCCGTGTGCTTCTTCAGTAGATAAAAATAACCATTCATTGACCAAGATGTCATTAAATTTCAGATCCTCTCCTCCATCCAGTGCTCTAAGAGGTTATTTTTCCAAGATAAACTCCACGGGGTGAAAATTCTGCCCTTCGTGCACAATAACAGCAACTCCCATGCAATACTTTGGAAAGAATTCCAAAAGGACTTTTGGAGTGTTTCCAAGCGTTTTGAAGGATCTTTTCTCAATTACATCTGATGTGTTATGTAGTGCTAAACACAGGTAGTCCTCGACTTACAACAGTTCATTTAGTGACTCTTCCAAGTTACGACAGCAGGAAAAAAGTGACCTACGACCGTTTTTCCCACTTACGACCATTTGCAGCATCCCCATGGCTGTGCGATCAAAAATTGGATGCTTGGCAACTGACTCGCATTTATGATGCTTGCAGTGTCCCAGGATCACATTGATCAACTTTTGCAACCTTCTGACAAGCAAAATCAATGGGGAAACCGGATTCACTTAACAAACCGGGTTACTAACTTGACAGCTGCAGTGATTCATTTAACGGCTTTGGCAGGTTGTCAAGTTTCCAAAAGATGCCCTAATTAATTCATGAGCCATGATCCAAACTTCAAAGGAAATATAGTCATTTATTAGGAGCAACATTCCGGCAATACTCGGATGCAGTTAGGACTACGTAGATTTATGTTCCCCTATGACCCTGTCTCTCCCCTCCTCTCTGGCCATGTCATAAATCACATTCTCCAATTAACCACTTTGGCTGGCTGTGAAACCTAATGCCCTCTGGTCAGAAAGAGTGTATGGAATTCACTTCAGTTCTCCCCCCCCCCCTGCTCATGGCAGCTTGAAAGCTTTGCAAATTGACACAGGAAAGGTCATAACCTTTCCGGGGCTGAACAAGTGTCTCACTTAGCAACATAAATTCTGGGCTCAATTATGGTCGTAAATCGAGGACTACCTGTATACCCTTTTAGGACATGCAGACTTAAAACTAGATTAAATCTCCTACCTCACAAGGAAGGTGTGCCTCCCTATTAAGATTAAAGGCATCAGAAGCTTCCAGAAAAATCATTTGGGCAAAGAAATCAGGAAATGAATGATGACATTTATTCATCTTTCTAATTTATGTAGCTGCCCATTTCGCCAAAAGCAACTCTCTGCGGTGTACAAAACACTACCTGATAAATTTGGGGAATTGACGTTGAGATTAAAAGTTGTCCAGATTGAAAAACACTACTCTTAAAGCAAAGATTGAAAACTTAAAACCTTCCAGGTGTTTGACAGATTACAATGCAATTCCTCTCTCTGTATATTTATTGAAATTGGAGTCCAACACATCTTGGGGGTGGGGGTGGGCGCATTAGATTAAGAAAGGATGATATGCAATGACTCTTCAATTGTTCTAAGGCTGATGATCTAGTTCTGTGGTCCTTGAAAGTTGTGGTTTGTAGCCTTTGTTCTTTTCAACTTTCTGTAGCTGTATTTGCATAACAGAATTCCCCTTGCTTAACTCTGCTTCGTTTCATTTTCTAGATCGGATGACTTGGTCGACCATATATTAGCCATGCAAATTCTGTTGGCACGAAGAGTTAGGCTCCAATGCGGCCGCTTGGTTTATGGGTTCAGCATGTTGCGAGAATACAGCTAATTCGAGCTTTGGGCCTTTTGGTTTAAGTGCATGAAAAAGGCTAGTTTTTTGGGTCAATTGAAGACTACTCTGCCCAATAAGATAGTCATTGCCTCCCTTTCTTCTCAGTCAGGATACACTTTTCTTATTTAGGTATACCTCCAGTATGGCTAAGTTATTAAAAGTGAGCCTCTTGCACTTGTAAACTGTGGGTCAGAGGAATCGATTTCAGTAAAGGGTCCTTAGTATAATAGGTTTATACAGCTGCTGAAATCATCTCTCTTACACAACGTTTACCTTTGGGCATATTTTGCAGTGAGCAACTTTCTGATGTGTTTTCCTGGTTTTCTTTTTTCTTTTTTAGGAAGTGATCTTTCAGAAGAATTCGGTAAGTCTAGCTTATTATCTGTCATTCATGATGTTATGCTCATTTTCTATTCTTGGGATTGCATATTCCTCCTCCTCTTCTTCCTCCTCCTCCTCCTCCTCCTCCTACTACTACTACTACTACTACTACTGGTACTACTATCTGGGTAAAATGGATATAACAGCCAATGGTCTGTTGATCAGCTTTCAAATACAGAAGCTCCTTGTCAGATATTGGTTAGAAATTCAATCATAAAATATAGACTTCTGGAGTTAAGGGAAGGACTATAATCTTAGAAATAGCAGTGCTTTAAAAGTTCTTTAGTGTGTTGCAAGTTGCAAGATAAATTTAAAAAAAACACCACTGGAACACTGGATTGCCTGTGTGAAAGTCAACCTCTGGTGAATTCATAGGCCATAGAAAGCGAAAATTTGGGAGCTGATGGTGTAGGGTGGAAATGAGGGACTGGTGGAATGTTTTCCACCCATCCTTCAATCCATCCTAAATTCACCAACCTCTTTTGTAATACATTATGGCCAAAGTAAAATGAAGAGAGGACTCACCCAATCCCAGTTCCATCATTTACGCAGTTTTGAGTCCCGAGCAAAAATGTTTAGTCACTAAGAGCCCTGTTTCCCAACTTTGGCAATATCCAGTGTGGACTTCAAATCCCAGAAATCCACAACCAGAATGGCCATGGATGAGAGTTCTGGGATTTGAAGTCCCTACACCTGGAAGCTGCCATGGTTGAGAAACCCTGAACAAAAGCATTGTAACGTAAGAGACATTTTCAGAGTGAAGAATGGGAGGTGGATGGGATTTCTGTACCAACGTCTCTTGTATCTTTTCTAGGATAGCAACGGGAGCTATACCTTCATCCCATATGTGGTGACAAACCAGAAGAAGGTCTTCTGTTGCGATGTCGGCACCATGACGTGCTTGACTGAGCTTTACCAGTCCAACTTCAACATGGAAGCCGTCTTCAATCCACTCACAGCGCAACTTATTAAACTGCTTGAGGGCACTTCTGTCAGCTCCAGGTAATGCTCCCTTCCTCCTTTTTACTTCAGAATCAGGAGTTTGATATGAGCGGCAAGAGGAACCTTTCCAAACTCAGTTCTTCAAAGGTGAGAACCTGGAAACCCATAACCCAGGCAGGGACAAGCAACTTTTGGATGGTTTGGGCTGTGCTAATTTACATGTGTGATTATTCGCTTGATGGGTGAGTTGACTCAGCAGGAACCGTGAAACACGACTTTGTAAATAAGATAATCATGGCAGACTGCTTGTAAATCTTTCAGAGTGATTAGATATACTCTCAAAAATATGTCTTTGATTCCTGTATTATTTTCGGTATTTATGGCATTATCTAGCCCAATACCTATAGTTGGGAACGTCAAGAGACAGAAACGGTTGAGTTTCCCCTGGTCCTTTATTGCCTACTCTGGAAAGAAAACAGACAAATAGATCTTTAATCTGACTCTGAAGAATACCGTAGTTGTGGGTATTTGTAGATAGCAAAGAAGACAGAAGATGAGCAAAAGAGATTTATTATTTATTTATTTATTACATGTATTTATATGCCGCCATTCTCCCGAAGGACTCAGGGCGGCGAATACAAGTTAAGAAACAAATACAATAAAATCATAATTTAATCCAAATAATTAATTAGTAGTAAATAATAAAGCCCGGAATCAGTCTCAGCCTATTTGTTTGAAAAGCCAAGTCTTCAAGTCCTGACGGAAGGAACGGAGATCAGGAGCCGTCCGGAGCTCAGTAGGTAATTCATTCCAAAGGGTGGGAGCACCCACAGAGAACGCCCTACCCCTGGGCACAGCAAGGTGACATTGGCTCGCTGTCGGAACCCTGAGGAGAGCGGCCCTATGTGAGCGAACAGGACGGTGAGAGGCAGGCAGGAGAAGGTCATGCAAATATCCCGGACCTAAGTCATGAAAGGCCTTATAGGTGAGGACTAGCACCTTGAAGCGGACCCGGAGAACTACTGGTAACCAGTGCAGCTCACGCAGGAGTGAGTTTAAATAGAGTTAATAATTAACTATATAATACTAAAGAGGGAACGAGCCCAAAGAAGCCATTCTGAGATACCCATAGTACCTGGGGACTAGAGCAGGGGTGAAATGCTGCCAGCTCTACCTGGCTTGCGGGAGCCAGTAGCACCGGTGGCAGGTAGTTCAGCGAACCGGTAGCACCAATGGCAGGAGGCTCTGCCACCCCAAACCGGGATGTCGTCACGTCCCAGTTTTGACCATCTGCGCATACGCAGAAGGCTTTGCGCATGTGCAGATGATGGCGCACGCTCAGAGATGTGCACATCAGTGAACCAGTAGGAAAGGCAAGTACATTTCACCCCTGGACTAGAGTAGTACCCATAGTAGCTAGGGAGTAGAGTAGACTCTACTGTCTACACTGAATTCTGCCTGAATTAAGCAGGAAGGCTGGTGGTTGAAAGCAGGGAGATGGTATGCAAAATTCTTTGGAATCTCATCTGACAAACAAGATGAGCAGCCTTCTATTTTTGGAGGTATGTATTACCTCCCAGACCTGAACTTCAATCAGAGCAAGAGCTTTTGAACTGTTTGTGCTCAGTTTCTGGAGTAATTTGAGGACTTACTTAGACTTTCTTAGGAAACTGCCACCAGGCCTTCTCACGTTTCCTCAAAATCTAGACCTTCCCCACAGTGTAACATTTCAGCTTGTGTCAAACTTCTCGTTTTGATTTCTTTTCTTTCTTTCTTTTTTTTTTTTTTGAAACCAAACGCCTGTTAAGAGTGGTGTCGCGTCAGCAGAAGTCAAATGGGGGAAATGGGTTGGAAGGCAGCTTTCTCCTAATTGCAAAGCTCTGTCATCATCTCTTTGGTGATAGGTCAGGCATTCTTGCTTTACCTGTGAAAAATGGAGACTGAGTGATGGTGCTATTCCCAGTTCCATGTTTTATTCATTCTTGAAGGTTGGTCCTTTAGCACAGGGGTCTCCAACCTTGGCAACTTTAAGCCTGAAGGACTTCAACTCCCAGCAAAGGTGGCTGGGGATTTCTGGGAGTTGAAGTCCTTCAGGCTTAAAGTTGCCAAGGTTGGAGACCCCTGCTTTAGCACCCAAGTTTGGGTCATACTAAATTGTTAGTCCCTTTGATGTAGCTCATATGGACAGTAAAATATGAAATGGAAGCAACCCAAAATAAAACAGAAGGACCTCTTCTCTTTTTTTTTGTCTTCTGATCCCAGTTCCTGTTCTCGTGCTGGAACCAAGATGGCAGGAAATTATGGTCAACCTCACCATTGTCACCACAAAGCATGATGTATTGCCAGAGATTTGCTTCAAATGCTGGGTTCTTGTCAGAAACACAGTGTCTAGAAAAAGCGGGCATGGCCTTCTGCTCCTTTTATTTAAGAAAATATTTCTTAGGAAGAACTCTTTGGAGAATCCATCCATAAAAACAACTCGCATCTATAGTTGGCTTGAGCCCACAGCGCCCCTGCAAAAGTTGCCATTGGGTTGTGATTTTTATGCAAAAATCACAATGCGTCACTCCTCATCTTTTTAACAACCATATTGCCTGCATTTGAGAGTCAGTTTGATCTAGTGCAGTGATGGCTAACCTTTTTGTCGTCACGTGCCAAAAAAGGAGGAGTGCAGGGGGGCACGCATGCGCATGCCCACACCCATAATTCAATGCCTACCATCCCCCCCCCCCACGCATGCGTGTGTGACTTTCTTCCTGCTTTTGGCACGTGATAGCCCGGTGGGCCTGGTAGGCCCATTTTTTGCCCTCCCCAGGCGCCAGAGGCTTTCTAGAAGCCTGGGGAGGATGAAAACGGCCTTCCCTACCCCCGGAGACCCTACAGAGGCCAGAAATGGCCCATTTCCTAAATTCTAGTGGGCCCAGAAGGCCCGAAAATCAGCTGGCTGGCACGCGCATGCGCGCTGGAGTTGAGCTAGGGCAACACTCACGTGCCCACAGATATGGCTCCGCCTGCCACCTGTGGCACACGTACCATAGGTTCGCCATCACGGTTCTAGTGGTTAAGTCAGGGGTGAAATCTACTTACCTTCCCAACTGGTTTGGAAGTGCACGCGCTGTGCGCGCGTGGACACTCTGCACATGTGCAAACCCTTCTGCGCATGCACAGAGGGTAAAAAGACAGGTGACTTCCTGATTAAAACCAGGAAGTAACGATGACTGGGCAGGTGGGCGGAGCCTCACGCTGCCACCGCTACCAGTTCTCCGAACCATCAGCCGAACCGGTTCGAACCGGGAGCATTTCATCCCTGGGTTAAGTGACTGTGATTTCTAATCCCATCTGAGGCATGAAAGCCACCTGGGTGACTTTGGGCTAATCACCAGGAAACGGGGAATTCTAGTCCCGTCTTAGACATGGCATGAAAGCCAGCTAAGTGACTTTGGACCAATCACCAGGGAGACTGATTTTTTTTTTTTTTGGTCCCGTTTTAAGCATGACATGAAAGCCAGCTGGGTTATTTTGGGCCAATCACTGTCTCTCAGCCTACAATGTCAGTCTGAAGTGACAAGCTGGTCGGTCAATTCCTGGTTCAACCAATGGATCAACACTTGAATTGATCTGGGGGAAAAAAAAACCCAAGAAGAAAAAATGGTGTGCATTTAATTAAATATGTCTTTAATTACCTTTGATCCAAATTTAGTTTTTGTTCTTTCTTGGCTCATCCTGGGCATGGCTCTTGAACACTGATGAGTCACAGGAGAGCTGGGGAGAGGAGCCACAGCAAACCCACTCAGCACCCCGAACAAGATGGAAGCATTATTTAAAGCCCAATGTATGTGTGCTTTCTCCAGCGGCTACTTCCGAGAGATGATCAGGAGTGACATCCGGAAGGCTCGTGAAATGTACCATGGGGGACAACTGAGCCGTGAACTGACCAGCATTCTACAGCGCCTGGACAGCGTGGAGTGCCTGAGCCTAGACATTGTCATGAACTTCCTTCTCTCCTACCGAGATGCTCAGGTGAGCTCACCTCTTGGTGCTGTTTGGGCTTCAGCTCTCCACAGGTGACTGAAAACTCATAGGATTGATTGTCACAACACCACCATAGCGGTAGTTTCTTCACTCCCACCCCTGGTTATGGGGTCCAGACTCTTACCACCACTGATTTTAGTTCCTAGTCAGAGAGAATTTTGGGCAATAATAAAGGTCAAACGATTCTTCGCTTTGTTGTTAGATTTGTTAGGAACCAGGCAGAGGTGGGTTTCAGCAGGTTCTGACCAGTTCTGGAGAACCGGTAGCGGAAATTTTGAGTAGTTCTGAGAACCGGTAGTAAAAATTCTGACTGGCCCTGCCCCCATCTATTCTCTGCCTCCCGAGTCCCATCTGATCGGGAGGAAATGGGGATTTTGCAGTATCCTTCCCCTGTCACGCCCACCAAGCCACACCCACCAAGCCATGCCATGCCATGCCCATCAAGCCACACCCATAGAACCGGTAGTAAAAAAAATTTGAAACCCACCACTGGAACCAGATGTTTGCATTATTTCACCTGGGAGTGCCCAACAATCCTAGACAGTGTTAATTCCAGCTGATAAATTATCTTTCCAAATCCCCCATTTTCTCTCTCTTTTTTTTTTTTATTTGATTTTTATTATAACATATAGTGATACATTCAATACATTTTTGGTTCATTGGTGCAAATATATACATATATACATCTACATGCATTATTACTTGTCTTTTCTTTGATATTGTTTCTTAAAGCTAAATTGAATTTCAAAACATTTAAAGATAATAGTGCTCAAATCTCTAAGACTAAATGTAATACTGTTCATTTCTCCATGGATTTTGTTGATTAATTAATACTTAATCTCTATACTCTATTTCCTTCTTTATTTCTTTTCCCCATCCATTCGTACCACATGTCCCACACGCTATAAAATTCCGAATCTTCTCTGTCATTAATTTCTGAAGTCAATTTGTTCATTTCGGCGCACTCCAGTATTTTCCTAATAACATGTTCTTGAGGTGGTATTTGTTTTTCTTTCCAATACTGGGCAAAGGAAATTCTAGCGGCTGTCAGAATATGTATAATTAAGTACTTTTTCTTTTTTGCATATTCAATTTTCAAAATTCCCAGGAGAGAGGCTTTTGGTTCGAAATCAAAATTTTCTTTTATTATTTCTCTAATCCACATCCATATCATCCTCCAGAATTTTTGTGCCTGATTACAAGTCCACAAGTCACATTTCCAACATTTAGGGCTCGAATCCCCCATTTTCTCATTTCTGCAAATTTTAAACCTTTTTAAGCAGCAAATGGGAATACCCTGGCATCTGCAAAAGTTGACACTGACGACAGTTAGTGTTCCTTCAGAAGATAAGTATAAAAAGCCTTTATGATGATCAAGTAAAAGGGTCAAGATCAGCACTTTCGAAACTTTTTCCTTCCTTTTCTCCAATTCTGAGTACCGTATTTTTCAGAGTATAAGATGCACCGGAGTATAAGACGCACCTACCTTTTTTGGTGAGGAAAAGAAGAAAAAGAAATCTCCCTCTGCCTCTGAGCAATTTTGCCTTGTTACAGCAAACAGCCTGTTTTACTTTCATTTTCGTTTTCAGCATAGCTTGATTAGCACAAGGAAAAAAAAAATCCGCTCCAGCAATTTACCCCTTTGCAGCAAGCAGCAGAGCCCTGCGCAAAACAGCTGAGAGCAAATCAGCTGAGAGTCGGGAGGCCGATCCAATCAACTTGTGCTAATGAGGCTGTGCTGAAGCTGAAAGGAGCTGTTTTTTCTTGCTGTTTGCTTGCAAGGGGGTAACTGCTGCGAGGCAGAGGCCAAAGGGTGGGGGCTAGTGGGTGGGCAGGGCTACATTCGGTGTATAAGACGCACCTAAATTTTCACCCCCTTTTAGTGGGGGAAAAGGTGCGTTTTATACTCCGAAAAATATGGTAATTTACCCAGATTTGGGAAGTACCAGTCTAGGATGATAAGCAACTTCTTGATTAATTCTGCTGAACTAAAAAAAAAGAAAAAAGAAAAACTTGCTTACATACTGGGGTTTCTGTTCTATTCAAAAATAATCAAATTGCGGTTGAAACTTTGGGCTTCCTGAAACAATTAAAATGCTTTCTTAGCATAAAATCCAACTTTTCTACCATTCCAGGTCCTCACTTCCTGCCCCCTCTACTTTCCCACCACTCAGACATACCACTTAAAGCAGATATTTCACTGCAGATTTGTGGGGTTTGGTCCAGCGGTGAAATTCAAAATTTTAAACTACCGGTTCTGTGGGCGTGGCTTGGTGGGCATGGTGTGGCTTGGTGGGTGTGACAAGGGAAGGATACTGCAAAATCTCCATTCCCACCCCACTCAGGGGCTAGTCAGAGGTGGCATTTGTTCGAACTACTCAAAATTTCCGCTACCGGTTCTCCAGAACCTGCTGGATTTTACCCCTGGTTTGGTCCAATAGAAAGAAAAGCATACAGATAGTCCTCAACGTACAACTGTAATTCAGCCCAGAATTACAGGTAGTCCCCGACTTACAACCACGGTTCGTTTAGCGACCGTTCAACGTTACAATGGCAGTGAAAAATGTGGCTTATGACCGTTTTTCAAAGTTACAACCTCCAAAATTACCCCATGATAGTATGACCAAAATTGAAATGCTTGGCCACTGGTTCATATTTATGACCGTTCCTGTGGTCCCAATGTCACGAGTTCCCCTTTTGCGATCTTCTCACAAGCAAAGTCAATGGGGGAAGCCAGATTCACTTAACAACCGGGTTGCTAACTTGTCAACTGCAGTGATTCATTCAACAACTATGGCTCGTAAAATGGGGCAAAATTCACTTAGCCAATGTCTCCCTTAACAACATAAATTTGAAGCTCAATTGTGGCTGTAAGTCGAGGACTATCTGTACAGTTATACGTTGTGGTGGCCATTAAGCAACATTTTTGGACTTAGCAATTTGCCAAGGGCCATTGTTGTTCTGTGGCCACAGAAAAGACAAAAAATTCAGTACTTTTGAAGTGTGTCAGCAAGGGGAATGCAAAAGAATTGAATAGGGAATCTTCTACATAGGATATGGATGGTATATCATATGGACCTGAGGACATTTCTGAGTTTGGTTGGCTTCATACTAAGGATTTGATAAAATGTGACTTGGATAGACTTGGTTTTGCTTTTAGTTCCTTCTTCTTCTTCGTCTTCTTGTGCCATATTTTTTTTTTTATTATTTGATTTATATGCCGCCCTTCTCCGGAGACTCAGGGCGGCTTACAATGTGCTCAGCAATAGCCTTCATCCTTTTGTATATTTATACAAAGTCAGCTTATTGCCCCCACAATCTGGGTCCTCATTTCACCTACCTTTGAAAGGATGGAAGGCTGAGTCAACCTTGAGCCTGGCGAGATTCGAACCTGCAGTAATTGCAGGCAGCTGGTCTTAATAACAGGGTGCTTTAGACCACTGTACTACCAAGGCCATCGTCATCGAATGTTGGCAATCATGTTGGCAATCCTATTTTTGTCATCAGCTGCATGAAAAAGTGCTGCTGAGTTTTGTCCAAACCGGTCCCTTAGATTTTGAAGCCATGATGTTCTTCTTCTGCCTGGACCTCATTTGCCTTCAGTCTTTCCCTGGAGGATTAAGTGAAGGATGTCGTATTTTTCTGGGTGTCGCATCACATGTCCAAAATATTCTAATAGTTGAATTCCAGGTTTGTTAAAATTTGAGTTTCCTTAGTCTACAGCAGGGGTGTAAAACTCAAGGCCCAGGGGCCGGATCCAGCCCGTGGAGTGCTTAGATCTGGTCCACGGGGCTGCCTTGGAAACAGCAAATCACCAGTTCACGGTGCTTCTGCCAGCGAAAACAGAGGTTGGGAGAGCCGCGTGTGCAGTCCTCCCGAGTTCTGTTTTAGCTGACAGAGGGTTGCAGGACGCCGTCACAGCTGAAAACGGAGCTCGGGAGCCTATTTTCGCTTTCAGAGACAGTGGTGGGATTCAAATTTTTTTACTACCGGTTCTGTGGGCGTGGCTTGGTGGGAGTGGCTTGGTGGGAGTGGCAGGGGAAGGATACTGTAAAATCTCCATTCCCTCCTCACTCCAGTGAAGGATACTGTAAAATCTCCATTCCCTCCCCACTCCAGGGGAAGGTTACTGCAAAATCCCCATTTCCTCCCGATCAGCTGGGGCTCGGGAGGCAGAGAATAGATGGGGGCGGAGCCAGTCAGAGGTGGTGTTTACCGGTTCTCTGAACTACTCAAAATTTCCGCTACCGGTTCTCCAAAACTGATCAGAACCTGCTGAATACCACCTCTGGGCAGAGCGCTCGGGCCACCACAGGTGCCCCTCTGACATGAGTGACATCATGCTGCCCCCCCCCCCCCCGAGGTCAAACACAACCCTGATGCAGCTCTCAATGAAATCGTGTTTGACACCCTTGGTCTACAGCATTTGCCACTCTTAAGTCCTCATAGAGAATGGTCACTCTGTATTGTCTTCTGCAGGACTGTGATGCTATCATCACCCTTGTGGAGACTCTCCAAAACCTACCAACCTGCAGTGTCGCCGAGCAACACAACATCTGTTTCCACTACGCCTTTGCTCTTGACAGGTGAGATTCTTCTGTGAATATAAGGACAGGCTTCTTGTTTTAATCATCTCAATGCCCACGGCCACTGGAACTCTCTTGGGAAGCCAGAATTTCTTTATACGGCTGCAGAGAGAGGTGTAATATAATTGAAGAAAAGCACCGCTCTGGAAGGTTTTTAGAACATAAATTGCACGTTGCTGTAGATTTCTCCTGGGAAGAGGCTCCAGGAAATCTCAGAAGCTCCTGCACTTCCAAATTTCCCTCTGCTAATTAACTTTATCCAAGGCAGGAATAACCAGGTGAATAGATTGTTCCCCCATACAGGGAAACTTCCTCGACTTACAACATCTGTTTAGCAACTGTTACAATGGCACTGAAAAAAGTGACTTATGACCAGTTGTCATCAGTGTTACAATTGGAAATTCTGGTTCCAATTGTGATTGTAAGTCAAGGATTACCTATAGTGGCTTTTGTTGTTGTCAGTTGCGAAGTCGTATCCGACCCATCAGGACCTCATGGACAACGTTCCTCCAGGCCTTCCTGTCCTCTACCATCCCCTGGAGTCCATTTAAACTCACGCCTGCTGCTTCAGTGACTCCATCCAGCCACCTTGTTCTCTGCCGTCCCCTTCTTCTTTTGCCCTCAATCGTTCCCAGCATGAGGCTCTTCTCCAGTGAGTCCTTCCTTCTCATTAGGTGGCCAAAGTCTTTGAGTTTCCTCTTCAGGATCTGGCCTTCTAAAGAGCATAGTGGCTTAGCTAATAATAAAAACGAAACCATCCGTTTTCTCAGTCTCTGTTCAAAAGACGGGACCACCAAACTTTATTATACAGTAGCCAAGACTGGAAAAGAATAAGCCACGACAACTAGTCAAATAGCTCCCTGACTTTTGACCATTGCTGAGAGGCAGGTCTGTGGCAGAGAAAGTCCCCACTGATACGTTGGAAACAAGCATCTCATCTACAAAAAAAAATGTGTCTCTCTCTTTAGTAAACGTAAAGAAAATGTTCTCTTTTGAGTATATTCTTCTCTGTTAGTGAACCTGTTCTTTGTTAGTATTAAGTACTTGAGTATGATCAAGGGAGGTACTAATACCACTCTATAAAGCCTTAGTAAGACCACACCTGGAGTACTGCATCCAGTTTTGGTCACCACACTATATAAAAAGATGTTGAGACTCTAGAAAGAGTGCAGAGAAGAGCAACCAAGATGATTAGGGGACTGGAGACTAAAACATATGAAGAACGGTTGCAGGAACTGGGCATGGCTAGTCTGGTGAAGAGAAGGACCAGGGGAGACAGGATAGCAGTCTTCCAATTTGAGGGGCTGTCACAGAGGGGAGGGGGGGTCAAGCTATTTTCCAAAGCACCCGAAGGCCAGACAAGGAATAATGGAGAGATTCAACCTGGAAATAAGGAGAAAATTTCTGACAGTGAGAACAATCAGCCAATGGAACAGAAGTTGCCTTCGGAAGTCATGGGAGCTTCATCACCGGAAGCTTTCAAGAAGAGACTGGACTGCCATCTGTCAAAAATGGTGTAGGGTCTGTTTGGGCAGCGGGTTGGACTAGATGACCTACAAGGTCCCTTCCAACTCTGTTAATTTGTATGTGATGTCTCTGCAGGCGGAACCAACCTGGGGACCGTGAGAAAGCTCTCTCTGTTCTCCTGCCTCTGGTGGAGAAACCCGAAGGGGTGGCACCTGACCTGTATTGCATGTGTGGCCGCATCTACAAAGACATGTTCATTGACTCTGGGTTCACGGATTCCGAGAAGAGAGACAAGGCCTTCCATTGGTGAGTAACAGAAGGGAATCCTCCCACACTCACCTCGATTCCCAAATCATTCTAACTGCACCAGGGTTGTAGCTAGATATACAAAAAAAAGGCAGTATGCAAAAGGAATACCATCTTGCCCTTAATTTTGGGGCAGGAAACCCTGTCCGTCCAGCACTGTACTGGAGTCACTGCTGAATTGTTGTTGTTTTTTTTAAATTTGATTTATATGCCGCCCTTCTCCGGAGACTCAGGGCGGCTTACAGTGTGTTAAGCAATAGCCTTCATCCTTTTGTATATTTTTACAAAGTCAGCTTATTGCCCCCACAAACTGGGTCCTCAATTTACCTACCTTAGAAAGGATGGAAGGCTGAGTCAACCTTGAGCCTGGCAAGATTCGAACTTACTAATTGCAGACAGCTGGAGTTAAATTACAATGCATTAGTCTGCTGAGCTATCCAGGCTCCTGATAGCTCTTCTGATGAAGAATCAGAATATTTGGTGACGAGCTGATACGCTACATATTTTTGAGAGGGGTAAGGGCCACAGTGGAGGGGCTGTGAAAGGAGGGAGTGGCCCCTTGGTGTGTTGCCTGCAAACCCGCTTGTGAATCAGCTAAGGTAGCTGATCTTCTTGCTAATCATCCTGGTCAATGGAGTTTTCTGTATTCACTTTTGCAAACCCAATAAAAGCTCCCAGACTTAATTTTCTTGGCTTATGAGAATAACGTGCACCTTTTCCTGGCAGTGCACCACAGGTGATATCGATTTGAAGCTTTGAAACACGTGGTCCTCAGCAGCTCGTGAAAGCTGTAATTGACAGCAAGATGGGTCCTGAGGGCAATCAGGAGAATACATATGGATTTTTGAGGCAAACTGGAAATAGGAAGATGGGTTGGGATCTGAATTGTATATCCCATAAGTGAAACAGTTATCCCTTTATGGGGGCTGTAAATGACCACGTTAAGTCAATGTTTCTCCAACTTGGCAACTTGAAGATGTGTGGACTTCAACTCCCAGAATTCCCCAGCCAGCACAGGTGGAGAATTCTGGGAGTTGCCAAAGGACTTCTCCAACACACAAGATTTCTTCATTGACCAGAACGATTAGCCAGAAGGAAGCAGCAACGAAGATGGTTAGGGGATAGGAAGCTAAAACATAGGAAGAACGGTTGCAGGAATTGGGTATCTCTAGTCTAGTGAAAAGAAGGACCAGGACTGATGTGATAGCAGTGCTTCAATATCTAAGGGGCTGCCGCAAAGAAGGGGTCAAAAAACTATTCTCCAAAGCTACTGAAGGTGGAGCAAGAAGCAATGGATGGAAACTAAGGAGGAATTTCCTGACAGCTAAAAGAATGTATTTATTTATTTATTGGTTCGATTTATATGCCGCCCTTCTCCGGAGTCTCAGGGCGGCTTACAATGCGTTAAGCAATAGCCTTCATACTTTTGTATATACGTGCTTAGTAGGGCTTTCGGACCCCCGTAAGCGGTGTTCTTTTTTATACAAAGTCAGCTTATTGCCCCCACAATCCGGGTCCTCATTTTACCTACCTCGAAAGGATGGAAGGCTGAGTCAACCTTGAGCCTGGTGAGATTTGAACTCGCAGTAATTGCAGGCAGCTGGTGTTACTTAACAGTGCTGTAGTCTGCTGCGCCACCAAGGCTCTTGTAATCAGGGGAACGATTAATCAGTGGAACGGCTTACCTCCAGAAGTTGTGAGTGCTCTGTACTGGAATAGTGGATGGCCATTTGTCTGAAATGGTATAGGGCAGTGATGGCGAACTTTTTCTGCACCGAGTGCCAAAAAGGTCGCATGGAACTATGCACGCACACTAGTTGGGGCCGCACTCCGGAAAAGCCAAACTTCTGGGTTCTAGTGCGCATACATGCTGGCCAGCGTGCATGTGAAGGCCGGTTTTTGGCACTGCCGCGCGTGCGAAGGGACCACGCTCTGTAAAAGCTGAACTTCCGGTTTCTGGCGCGCATGTGTGCTCGATGATCAGATGGCCGGTGCACATGCGCAGGCTGGTTTTCGGCACTGCCACACACGCGAAGGACAGCTGATTATCGCATGCGCACCAGACACCCAGAAGGCAAACAGGCAAGGCCGCACGTACCGGGCGACATGGCTTCGCCTGCCACTTTGGGCATGCGTGCCACAGGTTCTCCATCACGGGTATAGGGTCTCCTGCTTGAGCAGAGGGTTGGGCTAGAAGACCTCCAGGGTCCCTTCCACCTCTGTTGTTCTGTTACCCCTCCCAAAAATATGCAGCGTTACCTGCCAGTCACCAAATGCTTGACACTGAAAGGGTTACTTTTCATCCTTCTGCTTTAATTCCCCCAGGTACCACAAGGCCTTTCTGACTGAGCCAAGCCTTCATGCTGGAATTAATTCGGTTGTCTTGCTCATCGCCGCGGGTCATAGTTTTGAAGCCTCTATGCAGCTTCGGCAGATCGGTGTGAGATTGTTCTCTTTTGTAACTTACTAAATTTCATTTGGGCAGACAGGAAAGGAGGAAAGTTTCATCCGGCTTGGAAAGAGGGGTCAGCATGCTACTCATTTGGGATAAAAACAAACAATGCTTATTGGAGCATACGCTGTCATGAATGTTTATGGTGCAGTACAGCTGGTCCTCGGTTAACAACTGTCTTGTTTGGTGACCATTCAAATGATCACCATTTGCAAGTGTCAAGTCGGCTTACGACAGTGTTTCTCAACCTTGGAAGCTTGAAGATGGGTGGACTTCAACTCCCAGAATCCCCCAGCCAGCAGCGTGAAATACGGTCATAAGTCACTTTTTTCAGGGCCATTGCAACCTCGAACAATCACTTAACTCAGAGGTCTTCAAACTTGGCAGCTTTAAGACTCGTGGACTTCAACTCCCAAGCTATGCTGGCTGGAGAATTCTGGGAATTGAAGTCCACGAGTCTTAAAGCTGGCTGGAGAATTCTGGGAGTTGAAGTCCACCCATCCTCAAGCTTCCAAGGTTGAGAAACACTGGCTTACGACAAGTCAGTGGAAAAGGTCGCCCGTAAGTCACAAGTCGTGATCACATGATGTTGCTCTTAATGACCGTGGATGATTTGTTTAACGACCACAGTGGAACTGACATCTTAAGTCCGCCGTGGCCATGTGATGGTTCACTTAACAAAAGTGTCCACTTAGCCACAGAATGGCTGTTCCCAATTGGGGTCCTTAAGTGAGGATTATTTATATTTCTTTCCTTATTCAGTTCAGATCCTGCCTTTCTTCCCAGTGGACCTTTAAGGTGTTATTATAATTTACAGTGGGGCATCCACAGGAAATGGGAGGGGAAGTCTATGTCACAACCATGTCTACACAATCAAAACCTGTTTCCTTTTTATTTGTGACAAGTGTAAAAAAAAAAAAAGGGATGAAGCTTAATTTGCATGATTCACTTTCCCCATTTTAATTTTTGGAGATCCCTGATCCAAAACTAAATCTAAGTAAATGAAAAGCTAAATAAAAACAATTAAAATAGTAGCTGGTTTTAAAAGGCCCGGCTGAATATTATACTGCAAAAATTCCATGAAATTTGATTGTACGATAAAACGGTTGGTCCTGGAGTTTTGTCAAGGTTTTTTTTAAGCAATGCAGTTCTTCTGGATTGATCGTTTTAACCGAGTATTCTTTATGAAAAGGAGGTGCAAAACTTGGTGATACTGGACTGGGGTAACCTGGAGAACTCACACTGCTTCAGGATTGGTTGAGCAATTAACCCAAGGAAATTCACCGAAGCTGAAATGGTTCTAAGCATTCCCGACATGTTTATATCTGAATCAGTGAATTTTGTATATCCTTAAAGTTAAGAATCAGGCGATGCCAAATGCAATATTCTACCCAGGAAATCAAATGAGTGGGGTTTGAACAAAAATCCAGCTGCTGTTGTGGCCTGTACGCGGCCTGTGCAGCTGGTGGCTGATTCGGACAGCGAGGAGGCTGGTGTGGTGCTGCGCCAGCAGCCTGTGCAGCTGGCACTCGAGTCGGACAATGAGGCTGGAGAAGATGGTGGTGCCAGAGACGGGGATTCAGCCAGGGCCTTCAGAACCTCCAGAAGCTCCCATAAGTGAAGAGGAAGAATAGAAGGAGCCCCTTCTCGATGCACGGGCGCGCAGAGCTGCCAAAAGGCAGGAGTGGCTCCTCAGGAGGAGGTCTCCACGAGAGTAAGGCTTGGGGCTAATTGGCCACTCCCTTAGCCTATTTAAGGAGGAACGCCGACTGAAGCAATTTGCAGGGAACAACTTCGTTCCCTCTCCTTCGTGCCTTGATCTTAGTTCTCTGCAAATTGCTTCTGGGCTTTCTGCCAACCACAGTAAGATTAAGATTATTTATTCTTTGGATTCTTGTAGGCTGTTAAGAAAGTTAATTAACAGCCTTTGTTTGGAAAAAAAATGATTTAATTTAGTAAACTAAGGTTTGTACAGACTTTGTGTGTGCTGCGTTCTTTGAGGTCCGTAGCTGGGGCAGAACAGCTGCAAATCCAGCGTGGTTTTATCGCTCAGCCTGGTGTTTCTCAACCTTGTCCAGTTTAAGATGGAGTACTCTGGGAGTTTATTTATTATTTATTTATTAATCAAATTTCTATACCGCCCTACTCCCGGAGGACTCAGGGCAGTGAACAGCCAAGATAAAATACAGGTAATACAAATATTAAAAGTCCCTTAAAATTATTAAATATTGTGGCCAAAACACAGATTAAAACACCCAATTTATAAAATCAAACGAATTGAAGTCCACACCTCTTAAAGTTGACAAGGTTGGCTTAGCCCAGGGGTGTCAAACTCAATTTCATTGAGGGCTGCATCAGGGTTGTGTTTGACCTTGAGGGGCTGGGGCTGGGCGTGGCCATTGTGGGCGTGGCCAACTCAACGCCACACGAGGTTCTGTTTTCAGCTGCGACGGCCTCCTGCAGCTCTCTGCCAGCAAAAACGGAGATCGGGGTGGGGCGGGGTGCACATGGCCTCCCCAAGCTCTGTTTTCGCTGGCAGAGGGTTGCAGGAGACCGTTGTGGCCAAATACAGAGTTCAGGAGGACCGCGCAGAGGCATCACAGGCTGGTCCTTTGCTGTTTCCACAGCGGCCCTGCGGGCCAGATCTAAACACCCCGCGGACCGTATCTGGCCCCCGGGCCTTGAGTTTGACAGCCCTGACTTAATCCAAAGGCTGGAACCAAACGGGGTTTTCTTAAAAAAAAAAATTCCTATCCTTCTCATGAAATAACTTTCCTCTTTTCTGGCAGGGATGAAGGTGAGCTGCGTTTTGGGGAGGAAGGGGAGCCTGGAAAAAATGCAGCACTATTGGGACGTAGGCTTTTATTTTGGTGCGAGCATCTTGACGGGCGACTTCGACAAAATCATCCAATCCTCTGAGAAGCTGTACAAGCTGAATGCTCCTGTGTGGTATGTAGTGGTGACTTTTCATCTTCTGAAAGTGGGGGAAAGGGACGTCAGACTCGCTAATAATTTGAAGTAACCGGGAGGAAATTGTCAAAGTGGGCAGAGGGGCAGGCATCGCTCTGAAATCAGCAAGCCTGACCTACTTTCATTTTCTGAAGCGAGAAAATCTTGCAGAAGACATTTCCACTGACTAAACCATAATATATGCTTGACTTCAGCTTCGTTTATTGTGTTGTGTGATGAACATAAAGATTGTGGCTCATTCAAGACAAAGGCGGTTAAAACAAATTGTGGCATAGTTGGAAAGTGTGAAGTGAGCTACCGAATAAGCAATTTCAGTTATTCAAGGGGAAAAAATGGATCCAGTCAGAAGTCAGACTGGGTTCCTGGATGCAGTCTGTTTACAAGTTACGGAATAGAGTTGGAAGGGACCTTGGAGGTCTTCTAGTCCAACCCCCTTCTCAAGCAGGAGACCTTCTACCATTTCAGACACGTCAGCTGTCCAGTCTCTTTTTAAAGACATCCAGTGATGAAGCACTCACGACTTCTGAAGTTCCACTGGTTGATTTTTCTCACTGTTAGAAAGTTTCTCTTTAATTCTAGGTAGCTTCTCTCCTTGATTAGTTTCCACCCATTGCTTCTTGTCCCGTCTTCAGGTGCTTTGGAGAATAGCTTGACTCCCTCTTCTTTGTGTGCAGCCCCTCAAATACTGGAACATTGGTATCATGTTGCCCTAGTCCTTTTTTTCTCTAGATTAGTCATATCCAGTTCCTGCAACTGTTCTTCATATGTTTTAGTCTCCAGGCCCTTAATCATCTTATCATGTAGATCTGGGAATTGTTTTTCAACATCTGGAATTGGAATGGATTTTTTTGGAAATTGGAGAACTGGATTAAGGGCAGGGGTGAAATCCAGCAGGTTCTGACAGGTTCTGGAGAACCGGTAGCGGAAATTTTGAGCAGAGAACTGGCAAATACCACCTCTGGCTGGACCCAGAGTGGGGTGGGAATGGAGATTTTGCAATATCCTTCCCCCCAGGAGTGGGTTGGGAATGGGGATTTTGCAATATCCTTCCCCTGGATTGGGGTGGGAATGGAGATTTTGCAGTATCCTTCCGATGCCACGCCCACCAAGCCACACCCACTTAGCCATACCATGCCCACAAAGCCACGCCCACAGAACAAGTAGTAAAAAAAATTGGATTTCACCACTGATTAAGGGTAACATTTTTCCTGCCTTTGTTGCTACAAGTCTGCTAAGTTCTTGACATTAATTTCATATCTGTAGTCTTAGAGCAAAACTGGAGCTCTTGAACCCGTAGGGTTGGATCCATACAACAGAATAAATCATGAATCTATGGTAACCAAGCACATTTGCTGGGTTTACGTAAGTAATGTGGCTCAGTGTAATAGCCTGATTTATGCAACACACTTCCAACAATGGTTGAATTCCTACCACAGGTCACGTTCATTTTCGTATGTCCTTTGTTGCAACACTCTTATACCGTTGGCAGGAACAAATGCGTTTTTTTTTTTCGTTTGGGAAATATAATTCTATAGTGATTTCTGGCAAGTGTTTGAAAAAGGGTTGAAATAATAAATCCACAGTTTGGTACAAAACCATTTTTTCCCTACCTTGGAAGTGCTGCTGGTCAGAAGTGGGTTTCACATAATTTTACCACCGGTTCGCCAGTGAGCGTGTGCTTTGCGCTCACGTGCGCCTTCTACACATGGACACAGCCTTCCGCACATGCGCTTTGCTCTCTTCCATGGCTTGCACGTATGCGCACGGCTTAGAATATGTGGCTAAATAGGACGGCATAATGCTGAGGCGGATGGGACGGCCCAGCCACAGGTCGCCACTACAGGTTTGACCAGGGGTGAAATGCTACTGGTTCGCACCAGTTCGGGCGAACCGGTAGCGGCAGCGGCGAGTGGTCGGCGAACCGGTAGCGGTGGTAGCACGAGGCTCCACCCACCCACCCGGACATTGTTACTTCCTGGTTTTAACCAGGAAGTAACCTGTTTTTGACCCTCTGCGCATGCGCAGAGGATCCAAAATCGCATGTGACGTGTGCATGCACTTCCGAACCGGCAGGGAAGATAAGTAGATTTCACCCCTGGGTTCACCCGAACCTGTCTGAACCGGCTGAAAACCACCACTGCTGCCGGTGCTTCGGACTTGAAACCTTAAGTTTGGTTCAGTTTGGGGAGTGATAGTTTGAAGGGTGAACCGCTCTATTGTTGTGGGTGTATGCAAATAATATAAATAAATAAACATCTGCCTCTGTTGGCCTTTTTCTTTCCTCCACCTCTTGTCCAGGGGTGAAATCCTCCTGGTTCGGACCGAATTGCCCGATCCGGTAGAAATGGCGGCGGGTGGTTTGGAGAAATCCCTGCCTACCCCTCATGCCCAGCTGAGTCGCATGATCATCGCAAGGTTTTTTAAAAAAATTTAAAGCATTTTTTCTACAACCTCTTTGGATGAAAAAATGCTTTTAAAAGTAAAAAAAAAAGCCTCTGACGATCCCAGCTGAGTTGCCTGATCGTCAGAGGCTTTTAAAAGCATTTTCTTTTACAACCTCTTTGGCCAAAGATGTTGTAGAAAAAACGTTTTTAAAAGAAAAAAAAGCCTCTGACGATCAGGCAACTCAGCTGGGATCGTCAGAGACTTTTAAAAGCATTTTTTTTTACAACCTCTTCGGCCAAAGAGGTTGTAGAAAAAATGCTTTTAAAAGAAAAAACAAAGTTGGCCACGCCCTCCCAGTCACATTACCCCACCACCACCAAGCCACGCCCACAGAACCAGTAATAACAAATTTTACATTTCAACACTGCTCTTGTCTCATCTTTTCTCTATAATTGTGCCAGGTACTTGACGTCCATCAAGGAGACTTACACAATCTACAATCATTTCAACACGGTCCCTGACACGTGGACACCCAAACAGGAGCTGGTTGATTTCTGGCTGGGGTTTTTAATGGAGTCCTGCCAGCCCTTCGTCTCCACGGAGAGCTGTTTGGTAAGGAAGCTGCGAGTCCTGCTTGTTTAAAGCAATGCCATTCTTGAACTTACCGTATTTTTCAGAGTATAAGATGCACCTTTTTCCCCCCTAAAAGGGGGTGAAAATTTAGGTGCGTCTTATACACCGAATGTAGCCCCGCCCACGCACTGGCCCCCATCCTTTGGTCTCTGCCTCCCAGCAGTTTACCTCTTTGCAGCAAGCAACAAGAAGAAACAGCTCCTTTCAGCTTCAGCACAGCCTCATTAGCACAAGTTGATTGGATTGGCCTCCCGACTCTCAGCTGATTTGCTCTCAGCTGTTTTGCGCAGGGCTCTGCTGCTTGCTGCAAAGAGGTAAATTGCTGGAGCAGATTTTTTTTTTTCCTTTTGCTAATCAAGCTATGCTGAAAACGAAACTGAAAGTAAAGCAGGCTGTTTGTTGTTTGCTGCAACGAGGCAAAATTGCTCAGAGGCAGAGGCAGATTTCTTTTTCTTCTTTTCCTCACCAAAAAAGGTGGGTGTATCTTATACTCCGGTGCATCTTATACTCCGAAAAATACGGTAGATTTGTCTGCCTGAGACGGGGGAAAGCTCCTGAGCTGGATCACATTTGAATACGAGCAAATCTTAACATGGGCTTTCTGGTGTCAACCATGAACCAACTTTTGCCTTCCCCACACCCCACCCCACCCCACCCCATCCCCCCCTTTTTTTTAACCTCTCTCAATTTTGCCCTTGCCAAAAAAAACATGCGATGGGGTGGCGGTTGGGACCATCGTGCCAAATATCTTAAGTGCTTGCAAAACTAGTGTGCAAAAAATAAAATCAATAAAAATACAGTCAGTTGTCGACTTACAACGGTTCATTTAGTGACCATTCCAAGTTACAACGGCACTGGAAAAAGTGACCATTTTTCACACTTAACGACCGTTCCAAGCATCCTCATGGTCACCTGATCAAAATTCAGACGCTTGGCGACTGACTCATATTTATGATGGTTGCTATGTCCCGGGGGTGTGTATGTGTCATGTGATCCCATTTTGCGACCTTCTGACGAGCAAAGTCCACGGGGGAAGCTGGATTCACTGAACAACCGTGTTGCTAACTTAACAACGGATTCACTTAACAGCTGTGGCAAAGAAAAGTCGTAAAATGGGTCAACATTCACTGAACAACTGTTAAATCGTTACCTGTTAAGCTGTTACTTGTTAAGTTGTTTAACTGTCTCGCTTAGCGACAGAAACATTGTGCTCAATTGTGGTCATAAATCGAGGACTGCCTGTATAAAAGGCCGTTGCACACAAAAACGCCACGAACATGGAAAATGCCCAGGTTTAGTCAGAGAGAAATTTGTGCTTGCTGAAAAAAAAAATGCTAGTTTCAGACAGCTCTTTCACAACCCTCCTTTCAAGATCCGTTTTAACTAGAAATACCTTGGATTCAACCGGAGACTTTTTTTTTTTTGGGTAGATGATGCAAAACGTTACCCAGATATTTGACTTCAGATATTTGGAAATTTCCACTTCCTTTGTTGTTTCATGTTCCTTCCGTCAAGCTGAAGCGAATTCAGGGCACGCTTTGCAGAAGGGGTGTTTGCAGAGTGCAAGAACGCGATGGGATTCTCTCTTCTGCCAGAAGTTTCTTTTTTTGGGTTGATTCTTAGTAACTCAGGGTTGCTTAAGCCATGGCCCCTCTGCATGATGTTAGAGTCCAGCAGGCATCATCATCCCTGAACACTGGCCCTATTGGCTGGGGCTGATGGTAGTTGGAGTTTAACAGCATCTGGAGGAGCACAGCTTTTGGTATTGCGGAAATAAGTTGTAGTCCAGGTAACCGCCTCTTTGTCTCTCTTTCTCTTCCCTATCTGTGTTTCTCCCCTTTCTGTGGTCCCAGCTTACGTTGTAGAAACCCCGGCTGAATGTTCCTTTGGGGCAGGGCCCCCTCCCTTTGCTTCTGCATGTAGCAATAGCCCAAGTCTCTTTCCTTATAATGCATTGCTTGTTAGCTTTGCTTTCTTCATGGCCTCCTCCTTTTTGTCACTTGCGGAAATGGGGGCTGTAATTGCTTTTGGGAAGGGACACCGCCTGTTTTTTCAGAATACCTTAAAATATCATGCACGGGAGTAGCCTTATAGAGGCAGTGATTCTCAAGTTCAACCCTCACCCCAATTGTGTTACCAGTTCAACCCTCACCCCAATTGTGTTGCCAGTTCAACCCTCACCCCAATTGTGTTACCAGTTTGACCCTCACCCCAATTGTGTTGCCAGTTCAACCGTCACCCCGGTTGTGTTCAGTTCAACCCTCACCCAGTTGTATTACAGTTCAACCCTCACCCATTGTGTTACCAGTTCAACCCTCACCCCAGTTGTTTACCAGTTCAACCCTCACCCCAATTGTGTTACCAGTTCAACCCTCACCCCAATTGTGTTACCAGTTCAACCCTCACCCCAATTGTGTTACCAGTTCAACCCTCACCCAGTTGTATTACCAGTTCAACCTCACCCAATTGTGTTCCAGTTCAACCTTCACCCCAATTGTGTTGCCAGTTCAACCCTCACCCCAATTGTGTTGCCAGTTCAACCCTTACTCCAATTGTGTTGCCAGTTCAACCCCACCCGTTGTGTTCAGTTCAACCCTCACCCCAATTGTGTTGCCAGTTCTCACCCCAATTGTGTTGCCAGTTCAACCGTCACCCCGGTTGTGTTCAGTTCAACCCTCACCCCAATTGTGTTGCCAGTTCAACCCTGAGCCCAATTGTGTTACCAGTTTGACACTCACCCCAATTGTTACCAGTTAGACCCTGACCCCAATTGTGTTACCAGTTCAACCCTCACCCCAATTATGTTACCAGTTCAGCCCTCACCCCAATTGTGTTACACCTGGCTAAGCTCTTCCTCCTGATACCCTCCTTGTCCAGCCTTCCGATAACCAAATATTGTGCTGCTCTTGTCCCCTCATGATTTCACATTCTGCTCCTCATTTTGAGCAATTCATTGAATCTTCCCCTGTTTAAAATCATCAGAGTTGAGGGCTGCTGCTTTTCTTGACAGGTGTTGATTCTCGACTTGAGCAAGGTGCTGCAACCCTCTCAGCTCTCTGTGTGCAACGAGGAGATCAGAAAATCAGTGACACTAAGCTACATCGGTTCCCTGGAAGAGGTACTTTCAGAGATTTCACTTCATTTTCCTTTTTTGCTTGCTGCCTGCTAGTCCTCGCTTAACGACTCCCCTGTTTAGCAACCATACAAAGTTACAATGGCATTGGAAAAGTCACTATAAAGCAAGCCTTTGCATTTACAACTGTTGCAGGATCCCCAGTGGTCACATGATCAAGATTCAGGCATTTTGCAACCGGTGGGTGTTTATCAATGTTGCAGCATCCAGTGTTCATGTGATTCCCCATTTGTGCGTTTCACACCTGGCTTCCAACAAGCAGAATTGATGGAGAAGCCGGCAGTAAAATCGCAAGTCATAGTCACATGATGTCTCAATGACTCTAGAGCAGGGGTCAGCAACCTGCGGCTCTGGAGCTGCATGTGGCTCTTTCACCCCTCTGCTGCGGCTTGCTGTCACTCAAAATATGCATTGCAACTGCCAATGTGCGACACCCGCCAGCACGCGATTTATTGAGCTTTTCAACCTCCGGTAGGCCAACCATGGATAAATCCAAGAAAAGAAAAGTTTCAGAAGAAAACAGAACATTTCATTCAACTACATGTGCTAGTTTTGTGGCCGCTCAAGAAATAGTCAGGCACTGGAAGGGTTTTGTGGCTCCCGGAGTTTTCTTTTGTGTGGGAAACGGGTCCAAATGACTCTTTGAGTGTTTAAGGTTGCAGACCGCTGCTCTAGATGATTTGCTTAATAACCACAGTGGAAGTGAAGTCTTAAGTCCACGAGGTCATGGGATATTTCACTTAGCGATGATGTTGCCAGTTCCAGTTGTGGTCATAAAGCGAGGATTACCCGTTCTTACAATTTTCCAGTGATTGGGAATTTTGCTTCTAGGGTTATTTGCTTATTGGGTGTTTCTATTGGTTTCTATAGGAAGGAATTTCTACCTGGACTTTTCCCGTATCCTCCATCCGTGGAATCAGGTAACAATCATTTTTGCCATTTTTGAAGAGGGCATTTAAATGCTGGCTTTCTGCTTAACTCAACATCCAGCAGATTTCCGAATTCTGCTTACTGTACACACGTCACACTTAAAGCCACACATTTTGCCAACTTGCTAAGCTCGGTTAGGGTTAAACCTTGATCATTTTTGGATGACTTTTCATACTCTGGAAACTCAGCTGATTTGGTTAACTTACGGTTCACTATGTTGCACGAATCCAGAAAATCGTTTAATTCAGCAACCAGGTTTACTCATTGTGCGAATGGAATTAATGCCTGTCTAACAATCTATGCCAGTGATGGCGAACCTTTTCGGCACTGAAAACTGGAATGTGCACGCGTGCAATTCTTTAGGATTTAGCAGAGGTACTGGTCTACCCGGCTTTGAACTGCTTTCAGAGCTGTACCGGTCTACCTATTTATTTTTGGAGCGCACCGGTCTACCTATTTGTTTTTGGAGGCACCGGTCTACCTATTTGTTTTTGGAGGCACCAGTCTACCCATTTGTTTCTGGAGCGTTCCGGTCTACCTATTTGTTTTTGGAGCGCACTGGTCTACCACCACACTGCCTTTTACCACTGATCAGCTGTAGGGCGGCCCTTTGAAGCCCCACGGCAAGAGTTTAAACAGTTTTTTTCCTTCTAGCTGATCAGCTGGGACTCGGGAGGCAGCAAATAGATTGGGGGCAGGGCCAGGCAGAGGTGGTATTTGCCGGTTCTCCGAACTGCTCAAAATTTCCACTACCGGTTCTCCAGAACCTGTCAGAACCTGCTGGATTTCTTCTCCCTCAAAGCCTGTTTTCTACATGCCAGCCTGAATTCTTTCCTTCTCTCTTTCTTTCTTTTTTTGTACCAGCATTTCTAAGTGCGACGAACGATGCTGTTTCCTTTATGTGCGGCATACAGTTGAAGATTTCCAGTTATACTTCCCTACCCAAAATCACTGCCGCTGGTGAGTCGGGGTGAGGTGAGGGTGCCAACAGAAGCCAAGACCCAAAAAAAGAGAAAGAAAGCAAGTCAGTGCAGTCCTGGGCTGTTATCAACAGAGGAAGAACATCAAGATCACGAGAAGTGATAATACCGTTTTAAACTACACTAGTGAGGCCACATTTGGAACACGGTGTATAATTCTGGTTACCGCGATATTAAAAAAAAGTGTCGAGAGCTTAGAACAGGGGTGTCACACTCGATTTCATTGAGGGCCGCATCAGGGTTGTGTTTGACCTCAGGGGGCCGGGGTGGGCGTGGCCAGGGTGGGTGTGGCCAGTTCAACGTTATTCGTGTCAGCGGTGCCTGTGGTGGCCCCAGAACTCTGCCAGCAAAAACGGGCTCCAGAGCTCCATTTTCGACTGCGACAGTCTTCTGCAACCCTCTGCCAGTGAAAACGGAGCTCAGGAGAGCCGCGTGCGGCCCTTGTGAGCTCCGTTTTGGCTGCGATGGTCTCCTGCAACTCTCTAACAGCAAAGACGGAGCTCAGGAGAGCTGCACACTCTGCCAGCTCTGTTTTCACTGGCAGAGGCACCTCGGGTCAGTCCTTTGCTGTTTCCAGGACAGCCCCACGGGCTAGGTCTAAGCACCCCGCGAGCCTGATCCGGCCCTCGGGCCTTGAGTTTGACACCCCTGGCCTAGAAAGTATGCAGAGGAGAGCAACAAAGATAATGAAGGGTCTGGAGGCTAAACTATTATGATGAATAGTTGAGGGAGCTAGGTGTGTCTAGCCAATCAAAGAGAAGATTTGGGAGGGGAAGACATAACTGTCTTCCAGTTCTTGAGGGGTTGTCCCAGAGAAGAGGGGATTGACTTATTCTCAAAAGAACTGTTGGAAGAAATGTCTGTCTGGGTTCAGCTCCAAGTGGGGAAAAAGACATTGGAAACATGGAGACTGCTTGGAAAGATGGTTTAATGGTGGACAGGATCACATGGTTTGAGTTCCTGAACAGAAAAAGGGCAGAGATGCTGCGAGTCCCCAGGTTTTGGGCTTTGAACTTCCTGGGGCACAGGAAGAGTATCCTGATTGGTTGTCAGACTCCCAGGGGGTGGGGGTCTTAGCTAGCCTTGCTGGCTGATGTAATCTTCCCAGGTGCCATGTGGTGAGTTTCTGTTGCTAGATGGGTCCTATTGTGTTGCAGATGATGGTCCGTTGACAAAGGTGGGGGGAATGAGTGAGCTTGGCTGAGGCTTAATGGCCCATTGACAAAATGGGGGGAGGGAGGCAGGAAGCTGCTTTGTCTTTAAAACATGTTTCTCCATTTCTCATCCGCCTTGAGCAGGAGGTTGGATTAGAAGACCTCTGAGGTCCCGTCCAGCCCTATGATTCATTCCATGGTCTGCATTTGAAAGAGTCTCCTTTTTTTCACTGTCTTATTTCAGAGCAGATCCAGCACTCGTTGGGTAATCTGCTTCAGAAATAACAATTTCAAGAAATGGGCATTGTTATAAAATCATAAAGATGGCCTTGATAGAAATATACCGTATTTTTCACACTATAAGATGCACTTCCCCGCCTCCCCAAAAAAGTGGGGGGAAATGTCTGTGCGTCTTATAGAGCGAATATTGTGGTGGGGGGAGGGGGTTGGCACTGCGGCGCCACCTGTCACCGCTGTCGCCGTTTGCCACCGCCGAGGAATGCTGCAGCCTTTGCTGCCGAGCAGCTGATTGGCGGTTGGATTGGCCTCCCAGAATACCGCCGATCAGCTGTTCTAGGCAGTGGGGATTGCCGATGCCACCAATCACCGCATTGAACTGCGGCGAGTGGCGGTGGTGATAGCATTCCCTGGTGGAAGCAGCAGACATGGAAGAGGCAGGCTGTTTGCGGTTTGCTGCAAGGATGCTAGCCAGATGGATCCTGGATGGATGCTGGGAGGCACAGGCAAATTTTTTTTTCTTAGTTTTCCTCCTCTAAAGCTAATGTGCGTTTTATGGTCCGGTGCGTCTTATAGTGTGAAAAATATGGTACATTTCATTTGTCACCTGCTCCTTCCCTGATGCATGTTTTGTAAAGGAAAGACAGGGCCATGGCATGTTGGAAGGAAGAACTGTGTTTTCATTACAGAGGCTACAGTTTGGCTAGCTATATGTCACAAGTCAATCAAAGCTTAATGGGAGGAGTGGCTGTGAATTGCAAAGATCAAAAACCTAATTAAGGAAGGGAGATACTAGAATAGCCCAGATGTAAATAATGTCCCACCCAAACGGTACCTGGCAACCTATTGCCACTGTTTTGATTATTTCAGGGTGAGCATTAAAAATATGACAGCTAGCTTCAGGGTTGCTGTGGGTGAAGACATTTTTGAAAAGTCAAGGGCAATAAACGGAAAGGAAATCACATTCTCAAATCGTTCCCCATTGATTTCCAGTGCGATTGTAAGTAATTTTAAAACAGTGGGGGGTTTTTTTTCAAACTTGGCAGCTTGAAGAGGTGTGGGCTTCAACTCCCACAATTCCCCAGCCAGTCATGCTATGCTGGGGAATTCTGGGTGTTGAAACCCACACCTCTTTGAATTGCCAATTTTGAAAAGCAGTTTTAAAGGGTGAATTGCACTTTGGCATTATTTTTACTAAAAAATGTTGACCAAAAACAAATTACTGGAATCAACGACCATCAGATATAGCCTGCTGTTTATGATGCTAATGACATTTTTAAAAAAGGATATTGGTTGTTGCTTCATGCAGAGTCGATCACCGGATCACCAAATGCCAGTGCTTAAAGCTAGAACTAGTATGGAGACTGATGGAAATTATAGTCTAACTCAGGGGTCTCCAAACTTGGCAACTTTAAGACTTGTGGACTTCAACTCCCAGAATTCCCCTGCCTGCATGCCTGGTTGGCTGGGGAATTCTGGGAGTTGAAGTCCAAAAGTCTTAAAAGTTGCCATGAGTGGGCACTCCTGGTAAGATACCTGGAGGACCACAACTTCCCCCTTATCTGAGGCAGTCTTCCGCAACTCACGTCCCTCTTAATGTGTTGGCTACATCTTCCATCACTTTTAACTACCAAAAGCTGATGGGGAACAATGACAGCTGTTGGCCAGCCCCTCTGGAGATGGATTTCTCTAAGCTTCTCAGGCACTTTGATTGCTTTAAAGCAGTATCAGTCTTTATGAAGACGTTTCATATATTATTCCCTGAGATTTTCCTTCCTCTTACTCTTTTATTTCAGGTTTTTTGAACTGATCCATTCTTTCATGGCAGAGATGGGTGAAGAAGGGAATTGGTGCAGCTCTCCAGTGGAACTAGAGGTGAATTGGGGTGAAGGCACTGTGAATCAGACCTTCTTGGTTTTCTTAGGAAGGATTTCACAATGAGTGAAGAAGGAAACAACAAACCTAGCCAGCTCCAGAGATGACTCAGTATAAAAATAGCTACCATGCAGAGGTCTTGTTTTAGTGCTGTGCTGAAATTCTCTTCTGAATCTTTTTCCACAACCGAAAGGCTAAAACATATAAAGAACGGTTGCTGGAACTGGATATGTCTAGTCTGATGAAAAGAAGGACTAGGGGTGATATGATAGCAGTGTTCCAATATCTCAGGGATTGCCACTAAGAAGAGGGAGTCAACCTACTCTCCAAAGCACCTGAGGGCAGGACAAGAAGCAATGGGTGGAAACTAATCAAGGAGAGAAGCAACTTAGAACTAAAGAGAAATTTCCTGACAGTTAGAACAATTAATCAGTGGAACAATTTGCCTCCAGAAGTTGCGGATGCTCCAACACTGGAAGTTTTTAAGAAGAGATTGGATAACCATTTGTCTGAAGTGTTGTAGGGTTGCCTGCCTAAGCAGGAGGTTGGACTAGAAGACCTCCAAGGTCCCTTCCAACTCTGTTATTCTATTCTACCATTCACATTATGATAAGAAAGACATTGCTTTCCATGTGGTTTTTCCAATAGGGAACACTAATGAAATTCTCCCTGATGGCCGTACAAGTTTCTTATACTTTATCTCTGTAATAGATTTCCTAAGGCAAATGCGTGAGTCTGTTTATTGTGTACATTTCCTACACTGGTCTGCAATTTCTTTGGCTTTTCATACATCCATTCAAGTGGAAAATATGAAGAAATCCCACCTGGGCACAGTTTTCCAAAGAAGAAAAGGGATAAAGAGAGGCAGTGTAGAAAAACACAACTGTGCCATGTTGCTTTGTCCTCTTGCAACAATCTCAGGAATGCCACCGAAAGAAATCCCAAACAGTACAGTTTTTCCAGAGTATGGAACAGCATATAATTTTTAGATAAAAAGTGAAAGATAATGAATATTGAAATGAAAACCTGTTCCAATCATACCTATTTTCTCTTAAGTGTAATATTTCGATTGTAAATTTAATGGAGTACATGAGCTTGCATGTTTAATCAGTGTCTAGAGAAATAATTGTTAAAGTCTTTAGCTGCATACATTTCAATGTTTAGTCTTGGTTGTAGAGAGTGGTGAAATTCCACTTTTCTCAAAGCTATTTTGACCGAAAAACAAGGTGGAACTTATATACTGCTTCATAGTGCTTTACAGCCCTCTCTAAGCGGTTTACGGAGTCAGCCTATTGCCCCCAACAATCTGGGTCCTCATTTTACCCACCTCAGAAGGATGGAAGGCTACCTTGAGCCAGTGAGATTTGAACTGCCAAATTACAGGCAGGCAGCAGGCAACAGAAATAGGCTGCAGTACAGCACTCTAACCACTGCACCACCATGGCACAACTTTGGTGCCTTTAAAAGTGTTTGTGTAATAATTTCAAATTGTTTGCAAATACCATATTTTTTTAAAAAAAAAAATAGTCTTAAACCATCTGAGAATGCTGTATAACATCAGAAAAATAGGATGTTGGAGATAAACTTCAACATAGAATAGAATTAGAATAAAATTAGAATTAGAATGAATAGAAGAGAAGAGAAGAGAGTAGAGTAGAGTAGAGTAGAGTAGAGTAGAGTAGAGTAGAGTAGAGTAGAGTAGAGTAGAATAGAATAGAATAGAATAGAATAGAATAGAACAGAATTCTTTATTGGCCAAGTGTGATTGGACACACAAGGAATTTGACTTTGGTGCATATGCTCTCAGTGTACATAAAAGACAAGATACGTTCATCAAGAATCATAAGGTACAACACTTAATGATAGTTGTAGGGTACAAATGATACAAGCAACAAAATTACAGTCATAAGTGGAAAGAGATGGGAATAAGTGGAAGGAGAAGGAGATGTTTTGTACAAACAGTACAAACGTGCTTGTATAAAAAAAATAAAAGTATAACTATCCGTATTCCATTTATGGAATCTGACAGGATTGGCAGCTGAAGGTTGAACAGTGACGACTTCTACCATGTTTGAGGTCAAGAAGCTAATTTAAGGAACCCAGGATTCATTATCTGTCACATTTTCCTGGATTGTCTGCCCCAGGCCTCAAAATTCACTCTATTTAATTATAGGGCTGTTTGTGCATCAAAGGTCTTCTGACCAGGCTTTGCACTTCCTTATATTCTTTCTATGCTTTCATGTTCACAGTATGAATATGAATACACTGAAGCAGGCGACAGGGTGATTTTGGGAAAAGGGACATACGGGGTGGTCTATGCCGGACGAGACCGCAGCAACCAAGTACGCATTGCCATTAAAGAGATTCCAGAGCGGGATAGCAGGTAGGACCCAAAATGGGAAAACTTGCCATGGCCAACGTGCCCCACCCAGTTCACCCCAGCTACAGTATCTTGCCACGTCCAATTCGCCCTGGGACAACTTACCACAGGACAATTTTAACACAGGATAACTCGAGAAGGACAAGTGAATTTCAGCGAGCCTTGTCTTGCTTTAGGTTCAAGGTTCAAGCTAAAGCAAAACAAGGACCATTTCAATTCATTTGTCCATCTAGTAATTTATCCCGCGTTCAATTGTCCAATGCCGAGTTGGCCACAGTGAGTTGCCTTAGAATTTAGACCAGTGGTGGGATTCAAATTTTTTTTACTACCGGTTCTGTGGGCGTGGCTTGGTGGGTGTGGCAGGGAAAGGATACTGTAAAATCTCCATTCCCACCCCACTCCAGGGGAAGGATACTGTAAAATCTCCATTCCCTCCCCACTCCAGGGGAAGGTTACTGCAAAATCCCCATTTCCCCCCGATCAGCTGGGGCTCGGGAGGCAGAGAATAGATGGGGGCAGGGCCAGTCAGAAGTGGTATTTACCAGTTCTCCGAACTATTCAAAATTTCCGCTACCGGTTCTCCAGAACTGGTCAGAACCTGCTGAAACCCACCTCTGCTCCCATTACTTGGCAGGGTTCTTTTGTTCTTGGAAGAGTCTGTCTGGGTCTTTCATTGTTGGTCTTACTTCTCAGATATTCACAGCCTCTGCATGAGGAGATTGCCCTGCACAAGCGCCTGAAACACAGGAACATTGTCCGTTATCTGGGCTCCGTGAGTCAAAATGGCTTCCTCAAAATCTTCATGGAGGAAGTGCCTGGAGGTGAGTAAGCAGAAGATGCCATTTTGAAACCCTGGTGAGGATGGGAATGGATTCCTTTCAGCAAAATCAGATCTTGAGGATAAGAATAAGAAAGTGGGGTATCAAGCTCAAGCCCAAAGAGGTCACAGTGAAATCCAGTTGAGTCCAGTTTTTTAATTTGCTTACACAGAATGGACAGAATCTTGCCAGAGTAAAGTTATATAGGGAGTTCTTGACAGACAGGCACAATTGAACCCAAAATTTCCATTACTAATCAAGACAGTTGAGTGAGTTATGCCCCATTTTATGACCTTTCTTGCCACAATGAAGTAGCTAAGATGTTGAACTTGTCGATCGAAAGATCAGCAGTTCAGCGGTTCGAATCCTTTGTGCCGCGTAACGGATGAGCTCCTGTCACTTGTCCCAGCTTCTGCCAATCTAGCAGTTCGAAAACACATAAAAAATGCAAGTAGAAAAATAGAGACCACCTTTGGTGGGAGGGTAACAGCGTTCCGTGCGCCTTTGGTGTTTAATCATGCCAGCCACATGACCACAGAGATGTCTTCAGACAGCATTGGCTCTCCGGCTTTGAAACGGAGATGAGCACTGCCCCCTAGAGTTGGCAACGACTAGCACATATATGCGAGGGGAACTTTTACCTTTACTTATTCTTAAACGGCTTGTTTTGGTTCTGACGGGTTGAGTTTGCATCCGTTGTATTTTCCCTTCATGTTTTCATATGCCCCCTTTTTTTTAGCTGAGAATTGCACCGCAAAATTTTTGAACGTGCTAAAAACAAAAGCAGGTTGCATAATAAACCGAGCAACCCTGATTCCCATGCCTGTTTGGGAAATGTAGCTTTCCTTTAAAAAAAAAAAAAAGCGTGCTCAGATGCAAACAGATCATCCTTCACCATCTTACGGTGGGTATTAAAATGAGGCCTTTAGGAAGACACAGCATGCATGGATCAATTATGCTAAGGATCAGGAAGTAAATGCTTCTTGTCACACTGGGTAAACATCTTGAGCCCTTTCCTCTGCCTCCTGGAACCCCTTCCAGATCTAATTGCCAAAGCAAGCAGTACATTTCCTAGCTATTCGGCTATGAGGAAAAAAAACACATCAACGTTGATGTTTAGACCTTGACTTGTATTTAATGTGTGTTATAAAATGAAGGAAAAGCCCCCAAACTCTTAAGAGAGACGCAAAACATGTCAAGCTCAGACCGTTTTACGTACGTCTATAAAACTCTTTCTGCAAAACCTGACAGAAAACTCTGGCTCCGCCTTTGTGACATGCCCCACCCCCCTCAGTTCCTTTCCCTGTGGCATAGTGAGTACAGATAGTCCTCGACGTATGACCACAATTCAGCCCAGAATGTCTGTTGCTAAGGGAGACAGCTGTCAAGTGACTTTTGCCCCAGTTTAGAACCGTTTTTGTCATGGTTGTTAAGTGAATCACCGTGGCCAAGTTAGTAGCAATAGCGATAGCACTTAGACTTATATACCGCTTTATAGTGTTTTACAGCCCTCTCTCTAAGCGATTCAGCCTATTGCCCAATCTGGGTCCTCGTTTTACCCACCACGGAAGGATGGAAGGCTGAGTCAACCTTGAGGCTGGTGAGATTCGATCTGCCAAACTGCTGGCAGCCGGTGATCAGCAGAAGTAGCCTGCAGTACTGCACTCTAACCACTGTGCCACCACGGCTCATAGCAACACCGCTGTTAAGTGAATCTGGCTTCCCCATTGACTTTGCTTGTCAGAAGGTCACAAAAGAAGAATCACATGACCCTAGGACACCGCAACCGTCATAAGCACGAGCCAATTGCGACGTGTCTTGAATTTCGATCACAACGATCATGGGGGTGCTGCAATGGTTGTGTGAAAAACAGTCATAAGTCACTTTTTTCAGACCTGTTGTAACTTTCAGTGGTCGCTAAATGAACTGTTGTAAGTCGAGGTGCACCTGAACGCTGTCTCCCAGCCTCCAAAATTCATGTTCTCCGTGTGGCTTGTGGGCAATTGGTTCTCAGAGATTTATTTCTGGTGCAAAGTAGCCTTTCTAATTCCCCATGATTCTTCCTTCCCTCCCATCTCTCCATCCAGGAAGCCTCTCTTCTCTCTTGCGGTCCATGTGGGGTCCTTTGAAGGACAACGAACCAACCATTGTATTCTACACTAAGCAAATCCTAGAGGGTTTACGTTACCTCCATGATAACCAGATTATCCACCGAGATATCAAGGTGAGGAACCAAACCACATCGGGGACGGCTTGATATTGCTACCCCCATGTTTTCTGCTCTTGGAGATCTTGGACACTTCCTGGTTCTCTAAAGCAACAGTTTCTATGATTGACAGGGAGATAACGTCTTGATCAACACTTATAGTGGCGTCTTAAAAATTTCAGACTTCGGCACTTCCAAAAGGCTGGCTGGGATCAGCCCAAGCACTGAGACATTCACAGGTAAGGGATTAGGGTCTATGATTGAACATTTTAAATACGGGGTCCTTGGTGCTCTCTGAGCTTGGTTGGTGGTTTTGCATTTCATCACCAAACTAGGTAACATCATCAGTGCTAGAAAGGAATGGGGTTTGCTCTCTTTTTATATACGAATGGCTTGCCCTGTCAGTGTTTTTGGTGGTTCTTTGATTAGGCTGTTGTTTATTATTTGATTGTTTGTCAGACTTGGTAACGCCTTGATTAGGGTCTTGTTTTAGAATAGACTAAAGCTGGAAGGGACCTTGGAGGTCTTCTAGTCCAGCCCCCTGCTCGAGCAGGGGAACCTATACTATTCCTTGATTAGGGTCTTGTTTTAATTGCTGTTTACCCCAAATGCAAGTTATTAGCAATTTGTGTACACCATCTTCAACTGCATTGCAGTTTACCCAAGCACCATCAAGTGCATATACACCCCCCCCACACACACACTCACACATGGACACATATTTCTATATGCACATGCATGCATGCTCTTGTGAGCATGCCCATGCACACTTGCACATCATTTGTATTTTTTTTATTTTATTGGTTCGATTTATATGCCGCCCTTCTCCGGAGACTCAGGGCGGCTTACAATGCGTTAAGCAATAGCCTTCATACTTTTGTATATACCTGCTTAGTAGGGCTTTCGGGCCCCCCTAAGCGATGTTCTTTTTTTATACAAAGTCAGCTTATTGCCCCCACAATCCGGGTCCTCAATTTACCTACCTCAAAAGGATGGAAAGCTGAGTCAACCTTGAGCCTGGTGAGATTCGAACTTGCTGTAATTGCAGGCAGCTGGTGCTAATTAACAGCACATTAGTCTGCTGCGCCACCAAGGCTCTTCAACTGCCATTCAGCATTCCACACGAATCGTATTTACTTTGCAAACATATTAATTTTCCTGGATTGCTGACAGGCAAATTCTTGTTTGTCAATGGCCCCATTCAGTTCCATATCTCTCTCTCTGTCTCTCTCTCTCTCTCTCAGCGCTTGCCAGTAGAAATCACCATTAGAGGGAGCAATATAATCAGCCGCACAACAATATTAAAAATGCCAGCAATCAATAAGCCGAAGATCAGAGAATGTTTGTCTTAATTCCTGAAGGGACAGATTAGAACCAAACTTTCCGCAGACAACCTCGGCTTGTTTTCTCAAGTTGCTAATCTTTCTTGGATTCCATTTTGCATCGAAAAGAGCCTGGCAGCTGTTTTCAGCTCACCAGGCAGAGGAGGAGGAGGAACAGCTCGGAAGATCAGGAATAATAGGAGAGAGACGAACGGGGTAAAATAATTAAGTTCAGATCAGCGTGTCAGTAGAGTTTGGGCAATCAATAATTGGGAGCTCCGCAAAAAGAGAAATCGGCCTTGGGTAGATTTATGAGCTGCCCCAGGCAAGAACGGTTGCAACCAGCAAGCAGATTTCCGGGGTCTGGCTCAGTAGAATGAGCAGAAGCTGCTCCTAGCTGCTGACAGCAAGCTAGCTTACCAAAATTTGAAAAGAAGTGTAATCTTACACCAGCTCATCAAAAAGAGAATCCAGTATTGTTTACTTGCATAGTTGCTGGCAAGGAGCGTTGGGTGGCTGTCATATAAGAGAAGGGACCTTGGAGGTGGTCTAGTCCAGGGGTCAGCAACCTGCAGCTGTGGAGCTGCATGTGGCTCTTTCACCCCTCTGCTGCAGCTCCCTGTCACTCAAAATATGTGTCACAACCGCCAATGTGCAACACCCACCAACACACGATTTATTGAGCTTTTCAACCCCCGGTAGGCCAACTATGGATAAATCCAAGAAAAGAAAAGTTTCAGAAGAAAACAAAATGTTTAATTCAACTACATATGCTAGTTTTGTGGCCGCTCAAGAAATAGTCAGGCACGGGAAGGGTTTTGTGGCTCCCGGTGTTTTTTTTTCGGTGGGAAACGGGTCCAAATGGCTCTTTGAGTGTTTAAGGTTGCAGACCCCTGCTCTAGTCCAACCCCTTGCTCGAGCAGGAAACTTTATACCAAGGCTGTCAAAATCACGTCATCACAGCGGCATTATGTGACATGTCTGGATTTCTCCCCCCCCCCTTTCGCTAAACCAGATGTGGGCATGGCCAGGCATGACATATCCAGCCCATGGCCTGGGAGTTTGACAGCCCTGCCCTATACCATTTCAGATAAATGGTTGTCCAATCTCTTCTTAAAAACCTCCATTGCTGAATCACCCACTACTTCTGGAGGCAAGCCCTTCCACTGACGATAGGTAGTGCTCGACTTACGGCCACAATTGAACCCAAAATGTATGTTCTTAAGTGAGACATCGGTTGAATGAGTTTTGCCACATTTTATGACCCTCTCGTGCCACCGTTGTTAAGTGAATCATTGCAGTTGTTAAATTAGTAAGGGAACCTGGCTTCCCCGTTGACTTTGCTTGTCAGAAAGTCACAAAGGGTTGTCACATGACATTGCAACCGTTATAAATATGAGTCCGTTGCCAAGCGTCTGAATTTTGATCACATGACCATGGGGATGCTGCAATGGTCATAAGCGTCAAACACAGTCATAAGTCACTTTTTTCAGTGCCATTGTAACTTTGAATGATCACTAAATGAACTGTTGTAAGTTGAGAACTACCTGTAATTGTTTTTTTTATTATTATTTATTTTATTTATTTTTATATGCCGCCCTTCTCCGGAGACTCAGGGCGGCTTACAATGCGTTAAGCAATAGCCTTCATACTTTTGTATATTTTATACAAAGTCAGCTTATTGCCCCACAAACCGGATCCTCATTTTACCCACCTTAGAAAGGATGGAAGGCTGAGTCGACCTTGAGCCTGGTGAGAATTGAACTCGCAGTAATTGCAGGCAGCTGGATGTGAAATGCTGCCTTAGTAGGAGACATTAGCCTCCTACGCCACTCAGGCTCCTAAGTATCAAGAAATTTCTCTTTAGTTCTAGAGTTGAATTTCTCCTTGATTACTTTCTTTCCTATTGATTCTTGTCCTGCCTTCTGGTGCTTTGGAGAATAGCTTGGCTCCCTCTTCTTTGAGGCAGCCCCTGAGATATTGGAACACTGCTACCACATCTCCTCAGTCCTTTTTTTCACTAGATATACCCAATTCCCGCAACCATTCTCCATATGTTTTAGCCTCCAGTCCCCTAACTATCTTTGTTGCTCTTTTCCTCACTCTTTCCAGAGTCTCAATATCTTTTTTATATCGTGGCAACCGAAACCGGATGCAATATTCCAAGTGTGCCCTCACTCTTGTCTCCCTGACTTTCTTCCCGTAGGTACCCTGCAGTACATGGCCCCAGAGATCATTGATCAGGGGCCCCGAGGTTATGGGAAACCTGCCGACATCTGGTCCCTGGGCTGCACCATCATTGAGATGGCCACAGGCAGGCCTCCCTTCTTTGAGCTGGGCAGCCCACAGGCCGCAATGTTCAAGGTGAGACTGGACAGGCAGTGAGAAATCATCATCATTGGGTCCCTCAGGGAAAAGGATCAACCAGAACTCTCAACTGGCTCTGTTTGGGATTTCTTCATCAAGATTGGAACGTGTGGGAATGCAACAAATGCATGGAATGAGCCGGGATGGGAATTCAGCCTGGGAGAGCATCTGAAACCAAACACAGCAGGTGCCTTCCTTTAACCAATGCAGTAGGCTTTATAAAACAATGAGGACCACTATTTATTTATTTGATTTTTATCCTGCCTTTTTTACTTTACACGTAACTCAGGGTAGCAAACATACCTAATACTCCTTCTTCCTGTTTTCCACAACAACAATCCAGTGAGGTAGGTTGGTCTGAGAGCAATGACTGGTCCAAAGTCTCCCAGCTGGCTTTCATGCCTAAGGCAGGACTAGAACTTACAATCTCCTGACGATTGGCCCAAAGTCACCTAGCTGGCATTTCTGTCTAAGGCGGATCTAGAACTCACAGTCTCCTGACGATTGGCCCAAAATCACCTAACTGGCATTCCTGTCTAAGGCAGAACTGGAACTCACAGTCTCCTGACAATTGGCCCAAAGTCACCCTTCCGGTTTCCATGCCTAAGGTGGGACTAGAACTCACAGTCTCCTGGTTTTTACCAGCACCATAACCATTATATCACTATATAGAATTAAACTGTTCCCAGCTTCAAATGCCTACTCAACCTTAAATTTCACTGAGTATCTGCAGATCAGTAAGTCATTCTGTCTCTCAGCTTGGCCTACTTCACGTATTGGCGAAGTCAGGAAAGATGGGAAGATATGACCATGCCTGTTACCTGGAATTCTCTGCACAAAAAATAAGACAGAGATTAACAGGAATCATTATTCTAAACCAGGGGTTCCCAAACCTGGCAGCTGTAAGACTTGTGGACTTTAACTCCCAGAATTCTCCAGCCAGCTATGCTCCCAGAATTCTGGGAGTTGAAGTCCACAAGTCTTACAGCTGTCAAGTTTGAAGACCTCTGTTCTAAACATTCATGCACGTTCCCAAGTTCCACCTTTCCAGCAAGTCAGTAAATGAAATAAATTTCCTTGTTCTGCTGAGTGTGGGTAACAAGACAATAATTGGCTTTGGCAACCTGTCCCTAAATCCTCTGCTGTTGCCACAAGCCTCTTTCAACGGCTGGCTGCTTCTTCCAGCCCATTACTAGGGCTGCTATCAAGGCAGCCACTGTTTTGGTTTAAGGCAAAGCTGTAACTGCTCTTGGGTTGGACTTTAACTCCTAGAATTCTGTGACTGTATAGACTTATAACTACGGGATGCGGTGGCTCAGTGGCTAAGACATTGAGCTTGTTGATTGAAAGGTCGGCAGTTCAGCGGTTCGAATCCCTAGTGCTGCGTGATGGGGCGAGCTCTCATTACTTGTCCCAGCTTCTGCCAACCTAGCAGTTCGAAAGCACATAAAAATACAAGTAGAAAAATAGGGACCACCTTTGGTGGGAAAGTAACAGCGTTCCGTGCGCCTTTTGTGTTTAGTCATGCTGGCCATATGACCACGGAGACGTCTTCGGACAGCGCTGGCTCTTTGGCTTTGAATCGGAGATGAGAACCGCCCCCTAGAGTTGGGAACGACTAGCACATATGTGCGAGGGGGAACCTTTACCTTTTATAGACTTCAATTCCGGCTGGCAAGGCTGACTGGGGAATTCTGGGAGTTGGAAGTGCGCACAACTTCAAATCGCCAAGGTGGCGGGTTAAAGGTCTCTGATGGGAAGAACATTTTCGGTGGGCGCTGGTTTGGGTTCAATCCCCACCATCTCCAATCAAAAGCAGGCAGAGTGTCCTACTTCCCACACCATCCTACAAACTAAAGAAAAATTGGCAGATTTCTAGATACCTTATGTTGGGTGTTCTGAGTAAAAGATTGTGTACTATTGCTAGCCAGTTCCTTTTCTTCAGGTGGGGATGTTCAAGATCCATCCAGAGGTGCCCAGTTCCATGTCTGACGAAGCCAAGGATTTTATCCTGAAATGTTTTGAAGCTGATCCAGACAAGCGATCGACCGCGGCTGCTTTGCTTCAGGAACCCTTTTTAAGGAACAGGAAGAAATGCAGGAGCCCAGCAGTGCCAGGTGAGGGAAGAAGCTACGCCAGGTTGAGATTCTGACAGTCTGGGCATGGCGTCACTTCTCAGCTACCGACCTCTTTTTCTTTTCTTTTTGTTCAGATGATCCATCTGTGTCCAACAAGCCCAGAAGGTCCACTTCATCGGAAGGCGTTGCAGAACCTAGAAATCGTTCTTCTTCCTTGCACTCCTTGAAAGTCCAAGTGGAAAATATTGTTTTATCCCGAAGTTCCAGCGAAGTGAACCAGGGGAACAATTATCTGAGGTAATATAACGCTAATGTCAGGATTCCAAGTAACACTCTCAAGGAAAGAAAATTCCGAGGCTTGAGTTTCCTCAAAGTTCCATTTTATTAGAGATGTCATATTGGCACATCTGGGAAAACCCGAATCTGAAAACTTCCAGGTTTTCCCCACCCAAAGGAAAGTTTTAAGTTTCTGCCCAACATCCACATGTCCATCACAAGGTCCAATCAAAGCACCGTCCCAACTGGAGATGCCTCCCAGTCACACCCTTCCTGGTGCAGGGCAGGATGTCCTTGACTCTCTGAGAAAGGAATGTTATTATGACTATATAAATCACCCTGGCTCCATACAATCCCCCCTCCCAGTTTTCCACAGTAATAAATGTGGCAGGCGTGAAGGCCTAACGAAAAAGATGGCTTCCAGGCCTGACAGCTGAATTTCTTTTTGAGAAAAAGATGATGATGATGTCCATTCAGTCGTGTTCAGCTCTTGGCAGTTCTGTGGGCCAGGTGTCACTTCCAGTCTTGCACTCCTCCACAGATGTTCTGTGTTCATCAAAGCTGTTATCCGGCCGATAACAGCTTTGATGGTGTCCAGCCGCCATGTTCTTTGGCAGCCTGGTTTCCTTTTTCCACTCTCTCTTCCAAGCATAATTACTTCCTCTACTGAATTCCCTCACATGAAAAAGCCAAAATAAGTGAGACACAGTGAAAGAAAAAACAAAAGAACCCAGTTGCCTCTTGAAAAAGCACCTTTGGGACAACCATGACCTGGATGACTGAGAATCTCTACAGACTTTTTAGCTATACAATTTGGGATGAACACCCTTGGAATGGTGTGGGAATAGGATTTCCAGAGAAAAAAATTGCAGACGACAGGAACCATTTGCACCCCTCAGGTGACCCTGAGGACACGGATAAACCTCCAAGTGCTTCAAGGACCCTCTAAAAGGATGCAAATGTCCATCTGTCTGCAAGGAATATAAATCCTTCCATCCCCCACCATCCAGTCAGAGCTGAAGAAGCTTCTTGGATGAGAAGCGAAACGTCTTCAAAGAATAAACAAGAAAGTCCAGTTGCCTCCTGAAAAAGCACCTTTGGGATAAGCGTGAGACAGTTTTGAGATTTTTGCTTTCCGGTGACATCTCTGGGGTTATGCACTCCAGTATTTGCATAACGAATATTTTTTGAAGGGGGAAGGAGAAAGAGAGAGAGAGAAAGAGAGAGGGGGGAGAGATAATTTCTTCTTTCTTCTTCTTCTTTTTTTTGACAGTAGTGACCGCAAACAAAGAAGAGCTGAGCATGGCCAATCTAAATGATTGGCTGGCGCTTGCTTCTAGATCTGCACTGATCTGCCCAGAGTGGATTAAAGTCTGGAGAAGTATGAAAGAGTTAGACTGCCACCTAGTGGCTACCATTGCTCACAAACACAGAGGATCTTTCATAGAGCATTTTTGGGGAGAGAATATACGTATGATCTGATGTCCTTTGTCAAACTAGTCATACTCTTGTGATTTCTGCAGTCGTCCACGAGCCGCCGATTGCCTTAACCTCATTCACTTCTGCTCATTTGGTCACGTACAGGAAGGTTGTTATTAAACAGAGATGTCTATGGAGATTCTCAGTCACCCAGGCAGGGGTGGGCTGCTGCGGGTTCGTAGGGGTTCGGGAGAACCTCTAGCTAAGATTCTGTGCAGTTCGGAGAACCCCCAAATCCCACTCCTTGCTGGCCCTGTTCACCCCACCCCGCCCCTCCCAGGAGTCCCCACAGGGCCCGTTTTGGATGCAGGTAAGTGCAGGGCGCGCCCGGAGCCTCAGGGAGGGCGAAAAACAGGCCTACCGGAAGTTTGAGAAGGCCAGAAACAGGCCCATTTCCAGCCTCTAGAGGGCCTCCAGAGACTGGAGGCTGTTTTCGTCCTCCCGGAGGCTCAAGGAAAACCTCCGGAGCCCGGGGAGGACAAAAACGCCCCCCCCCCGCCATGATGCAGGAGGCTGACTAGGCCACACCCACCATGGCCACACCCACCCAGCAACCAGGCAGAGAACCCCTTGCTAAAATTTTTGAAGCCCACCCCTGCATCCAGGTCATGGTTGTCCCAAATATGCTTTTTCAAGAGGCAACTGGATTTTCTGAGGGGTTTTTTGAAGACGTTTCGCTTCTCATCCAAGAATCTTCTTCAGCTCAGCGCTGAAGAAACTTTTTGGATGAGAAGTGAAACATCTTCAAAGAAAACCCAGAAAGTCCAGTTGCCTCTTGAATAGAATAGAATTATTTTATTGACCAAGTGTGATTGGACACACAAGGAATTTGTCTTCGGTGCATAAGCTCTCAGTGTACATAAAAGATATAAGTGATTAAATCATGATCATAGTTGTCATAAATACATTCATCATGAATGTATTTCATGATGAATGGGAGCAAAAACAGGCCACGGGGACACGGCACCCCCCCCCCTGTGCCCAGGCCTCCCTGCAGCCTCCTGGGAGCCAAAATGGGTCACGTGGGGACTTCTGGAAGGGGAGGGGCCAGCCAGCAATTTAACAACCAGTTCGGCCGAAGTGCTGTGAACCAGTTGCATCCCACCATTGCCTTTGGGTATTAAACAGAGAATTTCCCAATTGGATCTCTTCCATTGTGGTTTTTTGAGGGGTGGGGGGGAATTGGAGTAAATTACTGTCACCCAACCTGTTAAAGATATTCTTGGCTCATAACCGATGTTGTGGGTTATTGAGCAGAGTACCCTTTAAGTAAATGCATGAAAAGCGACTGGGAGTGGTTGTGAACAATCACAGTCAACACACAAACACACTGAGTTGTTGTAAAACAATCCAAGTCATACACAGATAAGACGAGAGTTAAAAGATCAATCCAGGGATATTTCAAGTACAAAGTCTTCTTACCAGTTGTAGTCATACACAATAAAACAGTTCTTCTTGAGTTTCAAAACAGGAACAAGTTCAATATCAAAACATTCAATAAATAGTAGAAAGCAGCATATAGCTATGATCACACAGTGATCTTGCAGAGACATCAGGTAGAGAGTTACAGCAAATAAGCAGGTAAAATGGTGTAGTATCCACACAAGCCATGATCCTGACTTCCCTTAAGTACATTGGCTACAGAGCTTAGCCAATCAGGATACAGGATGATGCAATACAGTTTTAAAGCAATATAATATATTTCTGACTTCAAAGATACGTTGTTGGTTGATGTATTGCCTGACCAACTACTTAGACAAATAACCATTTCCTAACACAACCATTGTTGCCTTGAATCCAACTCCTCCAATGCAGGACCCCTGAAGCTGTGACCAATGTCGATCTCAACCTCTCTGCTTCCTCCCACGAAGAGAGCAGTTGCCTCTTCTTGCTCAAGAAAGACAGCGAGAGGCGAGCTACCTTACACAAAGTCCTGACGGAGGAACTGCCGAATATCGCGGCAGCCATATATGAGGCTCAGGAAGAGGTAAGGTTTACTTGGGTCTTGGCGTAAAGGTGATGGATAGGTGAAGACTGAGATGACAGGTAGCCTTGACTTACAACACTTCATTTAGTGACCGCTTAAAGTGACAGTGGCACTGCAAAGGGTGACTTATGACTGTTTTTCACGCTTATGACCATTGCAGCATCCCCATGGTCATGTGATCAAAATCCAGAACGGTTGGCAACTGACTCATATTTATGACAGTTGCAGTGTCCCGGGGTGACGTGCTTTTACAGCCCTCTCTAAGCTGTTTACAGAATCTGTAAACAATCTGAGTCCTCATTTTACCCACCTCAGAAGGATGGAAGGCTGAGTCGACCTTGAGCCTGGTGAGATTTGAACTGCCAAATTGCAGGCAAATTGCAGGCAGCCAGCAGTCAGCAGAAGTAGCTTGCAATATTATACTCTAACCACTGCGCCACCTTGGCTCTTATGAATGGATGAATGGATGGATGGATGATAAAAATAAACGTCCATCAATTCCATCCATTTTGCAATCTCATCTTCCACTGTGGGTGTTCCATCTTTGTGTGTGTACTATAATAATCTTGCTGCAGCTATTCATGGATCTATAATCCATGCGGGCCTTGTGTTACTCTCCTTCTCCTCCACAGAGGGTGCTGTCGTTGGAACACATTGCTGAGCTGGTATCCTGTCTCAAGAGCTACATCCGTTCCCCAGGCCGCAAACAGCTGGCTCAAAGCCTGCTCCAGTTACAGGCTCGCTTGCAGTCCGATGGGCTGAGTTTTTGTCAGGTGCAGGCGCCACTCTTTGCCTTCCAGGACACTGTGAGTATCTCACGATCAGCATTTCAGGAATTAGTCTTTCGCTTCCTTAAGATTTTCTCCCACGGAGGTCTATATACCATTGAAACTCTGTTTGATTTCATGTAACCTTCGATTGGGCATCACAAGGCAACCATTTTTTTTTTTAATTTGATTTATATGCTGCCCTTCTCCGGAGACTCAGGGAGGCTTACAGTGCATTAAGCAATAGCCTTCATACTTTTGTATATTTTATACAAAGTCAGCTTATTGCCTCCACAAACTGGGTCCTCAATTTACCTACCTTAGAAAGGATGGAAGGCTGAGTCAACCTTGAGCCTGGCAAGATTCGAACTTGCAGTAATTGCAGGCAGCTGGTGTTAAATTACAGTGCCTTGTCTGCAGAGCTATCCAGGCTCCTGAATCAAACATACCTCAAATGGGCTAATTTAATGAATGCACCCAAAATCTGGAACTATACCTCCCATGGGATTGCAATTTGGTGAATTTTTGCTTCTTTGTTCATCCGTGGTCATTCTGTTTCCTTGTTTAGGTAAGAAAATATATCTGGAATGATGGCTTAACAGATCAGAGTTGTCTAATCCAGGGGTCTCCAACCTTGGCAACTTGAAGTCCACCAGGCTTCAAGTTGTCAAGTTTGGAAACCCCTGGTCTAATCTCTTCTAAAACTGGAAGGTTTCTGAAAAACCAATGCAACTGGTCTGGTCTCTCTCCGAGATTCAATTCACTGCTCTGAATCATGCAGTAGCAATAGCACTTAGCAACAGACTTATATACTGCTTCACAGTATTTTACAGCCCTCTCTAAGCGGTTTACAGAGTCAGCCTATTGCCCCGAACAATCTGGGTCCTCATTTTACCAACCTCTGAAGCAGGGGTGGGTTCTAAAATTTTTTACTACCGGTTCTGTGGGCGTAGCTTATTTTGTGGGCATGGCTTGATGGTCATGTGACAATTCTTTAGGATTTAGCAGAGGTACTGCCAGACTTTTAACTGCTTGCAGAGCTGTACTGGTCTACCCATTTATTTTTGCAGGCACCGGTCTACTCATGTATTTTTGCAGGCACTGGTCTACCCATTTGTTTTTGGAGGCACCAGTCTACCACCAAACTGCCTTTTACCTGATCAGCTGTAGGGCGGCCCTTTGAAGCCCTGCGGCAAGAGTTTAAACAGTTTTTTTTCCTTATAGCTCATTAGCTGGGACTCAGGAGACAGCAATAGATTGGGGGTGGGACCAAATAAAAGGTAAGAATAATGCGGGGGGGTGGGAAGGTGGGGGGGCATAACTGTTTCGGTGATGTCATATTGTCACCGCTACCGGCTCGGTGGAAATGGGCCGAACCGGGAGGAACCCACCACTGCTCTGAAGGATGGAAAGCTAAGTCAACCTTGAGCCGATCAGGATCGAACTGCTGGCAGTCAGCAGAATTAGCCTGCAATACTGCATTCTAACCACTGTGCCACCATGGGTCGTGTCTTGTTTAATGATGGTTTACTGAAGAAAACTCAATTGGTTAAGTTCACAGACAATCCAAATGAACAGCCATACCTTTTAAAAGCTAATGTGGTTGCGTTCCTGTCAACTATGCTGTGATTCGGGATAGTGGGTAAACTCTGTTATATATAGGGATGTAGCCCCATGGGGCTGTTTCAATCCCTCTGATCTTTAATGAGCCCCAGTGGTGCAGTGGTTAAAGTGCAGTACTGCAGGCAAACTCTGCCCCCAGCCTGGAATTCAATCCTTATGGGGCTCAAGGTTGACTCGGCCTTCCATTCTTTTGAGGTCAGTAAAATGAAGACTCAGATTAATGAGGGCAATATGCGAATAGAACAGAACAGAATAGAATTCTTTATTGGCCAAGTGTGATTGGACACAGAAAGAATTTGTCTTGGTGCATACGCTCTCCGAGTACATAAAAGAAAAGATACATTCATCAAGAATCATAAGGTACAAGACTTAATGATACTCATAGGAAAACAGTCAATATAAATCTTAAGGATACCAGCAACAAGGTTACAGTCATACAGTCATAAGTGGGAGGAGATGGGTGATAGGAACGATGAGAAGACTAATAGTAATAGTAATGCAGCCTTAGTGAATAGTTTGACAGTGTTGTGGGAATTATTTGTTTAGCAGAGTGATGGCACTTGGGAAAAAACTGTCCTTGTGTCTAGTTGTTCTGGTGTGCAGTGCTCTATAGCATCGTTTTGAGGGTAGGGGTTGAAACAACTTATGTCCAGGATGTGAGGGGTCTGTAGATATTTTCCCAGCCCTCTTTTTGACTCGTGCAATATACAGGTCCTCAATGGAAGGCAGGTTGGTAGCCATTGTTTTTTCTACAGTTCTAATTATCCTCAGAAGTCTGTGTCTGTCTTGTCGGGTTGCAGAACCAAACCAGACAGTTATAGAGCTGCAGATGACATACATTGTAAACCACCCAGAGTGTGCTGTAAAGCACTATGGGGAGGTCCATAAGCCTAAGTGTTATTGCTGTTGCTAAATGCTAATGGGAAACTGACTCATGCTGCCTCAAATGAGGGTGCCCCATCCATTCTCACACTTGTTCTGTCCCACCCCTCTAGGTAAAGCACATGCTACGGAAGCTCCAAATTAAGCCGCACTGGGTGTTCGCCCTGGATAATCTCATGGGGCAAGCGGTCCAGGCAACCTTGACCGTCCTCTTGGAAGGTAGGATGAAAGGGAGGGAGAAGAAAGTTGGTTCAGGCCTGAATATAAGAACGAGAGTAGCCCAGACATTGGAGAACTGGAGAGAAGAATCTGTGCTCTGGCCACAGATGGCAATGTCTAAAATCTATCACTTTTCAGAAACACTCAAGTCATTGTTTGGTGTCAGGCAACATTATTTTGATCTAGGACAGTGTGGGTGAACCTTTTCAGCACGCGCTGGAAACGGGAAGCTGCCTGGTGCGCATGCGTGTGCCGGGAAGATTATCTTGCAGTTTCCGAAATGCACATGAGCACCGGCCACTCATGGTTTCTGGCATGCATGCGCACACAAAGACCAGCTTTCTGGTGCTCATGTATGCGCCAGAAATCAGAAGAGAAGCGCATGCACATCGGGCAACTGCTCTTCCGGTTTCCAGCGTTCCTGCCTGTGTGAAGAACAGCTAGCTGGCATGCTGGAACCCGGAAGAGCAACGGGCAATGGCTCTCGTCCCCGGAAAGATGGCTGTGCATGCCACTTCTGTCACATGTGCCATAGGCTTGCCATCACGAATCTAGGACATTTTAAATGGGTTGATGATGCACTTTTCTCTAGTCTAGATCAACGTTTCTCAACCTGAGCAATTTGAAGGATGATGTGGACTTCATCTCTTGGAATTCCCCAGCCAGCCTGCTAAGGTTGAGAAACGTGGATCGAGATGCATAACTAGAGAAATTAGTTTTGTTAAAACACTAAAGGCAGAATGAAGAATCTGTTAGAGCAGTGTTTCTCAACCTTGGTAGCTTGAAGATGGGTGGACTTCAACTCCCAGAATTCTGGGAGTTGAAGTCCACCCATCTTCAAGCTTCCAAGGTTGAGAAACACTGTGTTAGAGTAAGACTGAATCCATTTTGGGCAGGAGAATGGATTTAAAGGGAATTCCTGGGGAATAGATGATAAGGACCATTTTTCCCCTGTAATTACAAGGTGCAGAATGCTGCTTGTTTGTTTTAAAAATAATATTGGTCTTCTATTGATGCATATGGGACTTAAGGCAAGTCACTTTGTTACATTGAAGGGTTTTTCTTTTAGAAAAAACAGATTGCACAGAGATTAGTCTGTCAAGAAGAGAATTTTGGCACATTTGGGCTCCTTTTATCTCTGTAGGAAAGGGACGATGGCTCAAGTGGCTAAGACACTGAGCTTGTCAATCGAAAGTTCAGCAGTTCAGTGGTTCGAATCCCTAGTGCCGCGTAACGGGATGGGTGAACTCCCGTTCCTTGTCCCAGCTTCTGCCAACCTAGCCGTTCGAAAGCACGTAAAAAATGCAAGCAGAAAAATAGGGACCTTTGGTGGGAAAGTGACAGCATTCCGTGCGCCTTTGGTGTTTAGTCATGCTGGCCACATGACCATGGAGACGTCTTCGGACAGCGCTGGCTCTTTGGCTTTGAAACAGAGATGAGCACTGCCCCCTAGAGTCGGGAACGACTAGCACATATGTGTGAGGGGAACCTTTACCTTATCTCTGTAGGAAGAACTGTTATCTTCTAAAACTCTCTCTTCTGCATAACTTAAGGAATGGGGTTTTTTTCCTGTAAACATCCCAATTCACCAAGATAATGTAGGACCAGTGTATCTAAAAAAATCTTGGAGACTTTTTAAAAACTGCTCTGTCCCTCGAACTGGAGATGTCTGGATTGAACCTGAAATATTTTCTTCATGACAGAATAGGTGGTTCAGTTGTTCTTACTTTTTGTTTACTCCTACAATCTGTCTGTTGGCATTGGTGAATTAGCAGACACCTCCTTTGTCAGGCTTCCTGCCTCCCTTCATGTATCTGCAGAGATATTTAATTAAAAAGGGGATGAGAAGTGAAATTCTGCTTGGTGCAAAGCACAGCACCAGAAATAACTTATTTTTTGAGAGGGCCTCTGTGCCTCCCTCTGCCTATAGAATTCTACAGAAGACAGTTAAAGGATGGGAGAATGTAACCCAATTCCACCTGCCCAAAATAAAGGATAAAATCATGAGGTTAAAAGCAACTGAGGAGGTGGCAGGAGACAGCCTCCCCTGTTTTCAGCTGCTTGGAAGCCATTTTGTGGAGACGGTGATTCCCCACTTCATTGACAGCCATTTTGTGAGATTATCCATCTCAGGTTTTCAAATCGCCATGTACCATCAGCTGGCAGCGATGGCCTCTTCCTGCAGTTTTGGGTTCTTGCCTTGCTCACGAGTCTCACTTCGCTCTTCCAGAACTCAAGGTGCAGCCGCAGAATTTGCAAGAGGAAAGCCAGAATCACCCGAGCAGCAGAGAACACGAGGAGCCGCTTTTGACTCAGCAGCCCCCATCTTTGAAAAAGCAGGAGAGCGACCTCAAGGACAGTGCAGATACGCCAACGTCCGGAATTGGCACCGACACCAACAGTTGGCTGGATTCCCAGCCTCCCTTCAAGAGCCATTTGCCCCTCATGACTCAACTCAACCATCTGCAGGAAGAAACCAGAAGGTCCGTTCTTCTTGAATTGCATCCGAGATGCTGGGAGAGCTGGGACGAGCAGTAGGGTTGGAGCTGCACTAAGCTACTGTGAAGTGGTGCAACTAGTTAAACCAGGGGTGAAAACCAGCAGGTTCTGACAGGTTCTGGAGAACTGGTAGTGGAAATTTTGAGCAGTTCGGAGAACCGGTAGCAGAAATTTTGAGCAGTTTTGAGCTGGCCCCAGGGTGGGGTGGGAATGGAGATTTTGTAATATCCTTTCCCCAGGAATGGGGAGGGAATGGGGATTTTGCAGTATCCTTCCCCTGGAGTGGGGTGGGAATGGAGATTTTGCAGTATCCTTCCCCTGGAGTGGGGTGGGAATGGAGATTTTGCAGTATCCTTCCCCTGGAGTGGGGTGGGAATGGAGATTCTGCAGTATCCTTCCCCTGGAGTGGGGTGGGAATGGAGATTTTGCAGTATCCTTCCCCTGGAGTGGGGTGGGAATGGAGATTTTGTAGTATCCTTCCCCTGGAGTGGGGTGGGAATGGAGATTTTGCAGTATCCTTCCCCTGCCACACCCACCAAGCCACGCCCACAGAACTGGTAGTAAAAAAAAATGAATTTCACCACTGAGTTAAATAGACATCCTTTAAAACAAGCAAGCATCAGATAGGAATATCTGCAAGTAAGTAGAGGTAGCCCTTGACCTCCATTTATTTAGTGACCGTTCGAAGTTACAATGGCACTGAAAAAAGTGACTTATGACCGTTTCCCACACTTAATGACTGTTGTAGCTTCTGCATAGTCATATGATCCAAATTAGGATGCTTGGCCACTGGTATGCATTTACCATGGTTTCAGGGTCCTGGGATCACCTTTCGGGATCTTCTGACAAGGAAAGTCAAGGGAGAAGCCAGGTTGACTTCACAACCATGTTACTAACTTAGCAACTGCAGTGATTCTCTTAACAACTGGGGTGGGGAAGGTCATAAAATGGCCAAAACTCACTTAACAACTGCCTTGCTTAGCAATGGAAATTTTGTGTTCAATAGTTGTAAGTCGAGGACAGTGGTGGGTTTCAAAATTTTTTACTACCGGTTCTGTGGGTGTGGCTTGGTGAGCGTGGCTTGGGCATGGCGGGGGAAGGATATTGTAAAATCTCCATTCCCACCTCACCCCAGGGGAAGGTTACTGCAAAATCCCCATTCCCTCCCAATCAGCTGGGACTCGGGGAGGCAGAGAATAGATGTGGGTGGGGCCAGTTAGAATTTTTATTACCGGTTCTCTGAACTACTCAAAATTTCCGCTACCGGTTCTCCAGAACTGGTCAGAACCTGCTGAAACTCACCTCTGGTCGAGGACTACCTGAACAGATATATGTCTATGGAGATTCTCAATCATCTAGGTCATGGTTGTTCCAAAAAGATGTTTTTTTTCCAAAAGGCAACTGAACTTTCTTGGTTTTTTTTATTATTTAGCACAATTTGTCCATTATGCTATATCAGAAAGAATCAAGCCACATTAAGGATTTAGGAATGAATACAAACCAAACCCTGGTTTAAATCTTCTCACTAATCAGGTTTTAAATTTAGGAACATGACCAGTTTATCCTGATCTTTTTTTTGGCTCTGGCAGGTTGCAGTGGAAATTGGTAGAGAAGCAGCAGGAATATCAGAGGCTCCTACAAGAAGCCCTGAAGATCATGGAACAGGACTCCTGGTCTCTGAGAAGGCCACAGATAATCGGTGAGGTTTCGGATAGTTTAAGACTAGAACCAGTGGCTGAGAGTAACGTTTCTTTTCATGTGCCCAGCAAAGTTGAAGTGGAACCCTTTTTAAATAGACTGGCATGGAGGCAAAGACATCAGTGGGGGCAAAAGAATGAAGATGGGGCTATTACCAAAACTGTGCCCCTTTTTTATATTTATGGTAAAGGTAAAGGTTCCCCTCGCACATATGTGCTAGTCATTCCCAACTCTAGGGGGCGGTGCTCTCGCCGTTTCAAAGCCGAAGAGCCAGCGCTGTCTGAAGACGTCTCCGTGGTCATGTGACCAGCATGACTCAACGCCAAAGGGGCATGGAACGCTGTTCCCTTCCCACCAAAGGTGGTCCCTATTTTTCAACTTGCATTTTTTACGTGCTTTCTTTTTCTTTCTTTCTTTTACGTGCTTTACGTGCCAGCTAGGTTGGCAGAAGCTGGGACAAGTAACGGGAGCTCACTCACCCCGTTACGCGGCACTAGAGATTCGAACCGCTGAACTGCTGACCTTTCGATCGACAAGCTGTGTCTTAGCCACTGAGCCACCGTGTCCCTTTCCTACAGAGATAAAAGGAGCCCAAATGTGCCAAAATTCTCTTTTTGACAGACGAATCTCTCTGCAATCTGTTTTTTCTAAAAGAAAAACCCTTCAATGTAACAAAGTGACTCACCTTAAGTCCCATACGCATTAATAGAAAACCAGTATTGATTTTTAAAACAAACAAGCAGCATTCTGCACCTTGTAATAATAGGGAAAAATGGTCCTCGTCACCATCAGAAGCTGGGACAAGTAACAGGAGCTCACCCTGTTACGCAGCACTAGGGATTCGAACCACTGAACTGCCAACCGCGTCCCTGTGTTTATATTATATGTATGACAGAGCTTCAAATGCATAGCGGTGTATGCCTTTTTTGACCCCTCTTTCCCAGGTCAGATGTTGTTTGCTGGAGGACAACTTAATTGATTTCCAATTTTGCAAGAGACAAAGAACTTACAGTAGTTCAGGCAAATCAAGCCTTATGACTTGTTCCTTGGGAATCCACTCTGTCGGATCTTTAAAAGTAGAATCTGTGGATCTTCAGGTACTTCTTTGTGGAAAGTTGTCTTAGGATCCAATCTGGGTTGGTTACAAGATCAGAGATTTAATCTTCTGAAATTTGGTCCTGGTGACTGACCCAGATTGGATCCTGCAATATCATCCTAGGACAGAGTACCCCCAACCCCTGGGCCACAGCCTACTACCAGGCTGTGGACCCATTCGAAACCGGGCCTCACAAGCAGCCGGTGAGTGCATGCACGTACACAATTCCACTTGCGTGAGCGGTGCACAAGCACACATGCGCTCACAGCCCCACTCGCACGAGCTGTGTGTGTGTGCGTCCCTCACACAAAACTATCTCCTGTTGTGCCCCGACCACTGCCCCAAGCCACTAACCCTGAAAGGTTGGGGACCACTGTCCTAGACATGCATATTTGCCTTCATTCGTGAAAATTGTCTTCGATCAAGACAGATTCTGCATCAAACAGGTTTCATATTCCCAGCCATCTGCAGTAAGTTGCCATGCAGTGGCTCAAGAGACTTTACTGCTGTGGTCTCTCCCCAAACAGGATTCTCCTCTTTTTTTTAAAAGCCGCAACAAATGAACTTGTTCGAGATAAAGGTTGCACATTTTACTTTTATGTACAGTGTAATATAAACATTTGACTAGGTTCCTGTAACACAGCAATGCACAAAAACCCTTCATGGATAAAATTAATTAAGCCTCTCTTATTGGGCCAATGTGTCTCCTCAAGTCTTGAACTTTCCACTTGAAGGGTGTTGTGGGAACTCCATATATTTAACATTATCTATTGATAGTATTAAAATTAGAATTCAGTAGCAAAGGGGAGGGGCCTACACACGGTTCTCGAATCTTTCACATGCAGCCTTCAGAGCAGAAGCAGCAGAAGCTTCTCTTTGAAGTCTTCTGCTGTCAGGATCATCTTTGGCCTGGTGCAGGGGTCTGCGACCTTAAATATTCAAAGAGCCATTTGGACCCATTTCCCACAGAAAAGAAAACACCGGGAGCCACAAAACCTGGGTGGGCGTGGCCAACTCGATGTCACTCACTTCCACTAGTCACATGACTGCCCCCTAGCCACGCCTACCCAGCCGGTCATTAGGGCAGAGAACCAGTTATTAAAAATCACCGGGAACCACACAATCCTTTTGACATCTCTTTTTCTCCCCTCCCTCCCTCTCTCTTCCCCTCTCTCTGTATCTCTCTGTCTCTGCCCTGGCCACTTCTCCATTCCCTGCCGTCGCCCTTACCTTCTCAGGCCAGGCAAGGAGTGACTGGGAGGGGAGGGCGAGGGGTGAGGCCAGCCAATGGTGGGATCACCTGACAGGGAGCCACAGCAGAGGGCCCAAAGAGCCGCATGTGGCTCCGGAGCCGCAGGTTGCTGATCCTTAGCCTGGTGCAACATGCAGTTCACACAGACTTGAGCTTTGCAGTGGTAGAGAAGCGAGACTTGTCTTCTAGACTTGTTTCCCTTGTTGTGAAACCGCATAGCCTCTTCTGCCTGTTCTCCCAGCTTTCCATTTCCTCCAGGAGGAGAGCTGGATACAGCTTTGGGAACAACAACAAAGACCATCTGAAGCGAGGAATTGTGAGGGAATTTGTGTGGCGAGGAGTGTCAGGGAACAAAGTTGGTCCAAGAAGGAGCTTTGATTTGATTTCTTTCCTATCTGCCTTCCTAGAAATCCCTCCTTCTCCAACTTCCTGGGACCAAGAAGAAAAAGCTGGCGATCCCCTCCTGGCAGAGTGGTTAGAGAAACATGGCGCAGACAAAGCCACAGTGGCAGTGGTAGGTCTGATTCAGCAGCAGGTGGTATCAACATCTGCCCCTACTTCTGTTTCCCCAGATGAGTGGCATAATGGTTAGACCAGGGGTCTGCAACCTTAAACACTCAGAGCAATTTGGACGTTTCCCAGAGAAAAGAAAACACCGGGATCCTCAAAACTCTTCCTGTGCCTGACTATTTCCTGAGAGGCCACAGAACTAGCATATGTAGTTGAATTAAATGTTCTGTTTTCTTCTGAAATTTTTCTTTTCTTGGATTTATCCATACTTGGCTTACCGGGGGTCGAAAAGCTCAATAAATCACATGCCGGCGGGTATTGCATATTGGCGGTTGGGATGCATATTTTGAGTGACAGGGAGCCACAGCAGAGGGGTGAAAGAGCCACATGCAGCTCCAGAGCTGCAGGTTGCTGACCCCTGGGTTAGACAAAGAACAGGGGAGGCCTGCAGTCCAGACTCCATTCAACTGTGGAGCTTACTAAAATGACTTGGGGCCATTCTTGTTTGCCATTCAACCTGTTTGGCAAAGGTGATGTAAGGTGGTGGCTTTAAGAATCGCATCGGGCAAAAGAAATTCCACATTCAACACTTGAGCTTGCAGGAAAAACCTGGGATGTAAATCAAGCCAGGCATTGAAATTATCCTCTTCTCTTAAAAGTTCTGCTACCATGGATTCACCCTGAATGATTTGCTGAAGTTGGCTACAATCGATGATCTCCGGTACACGTGCATCAGGTAGGGTGGAAAGGGGTAATCATTTCAAGACAGGCATGTAATTTTGCCTGATAAGCAAGGCTCCAAAGATAATTTCGTTTAAAAAAAAAAAAAAAGGTTTAAAATCCTGAAAAGTTTGGGTACTATTATTATGCCTGTAAGATTTAAGTATCATCACACTTATCATGCAGATGCCAGCTGCACCTGCTGCAGATAACTTGGTATTATCCTTGGCACCAATGTTAGTTTCTTGATTACTAAGAAAAAAAAAATGCATATTTAAGCAGAACATTTCAACATTTCATTTCAAAGAGGGTGCTGCTGTTTCTCTTTCTTCCTTATTTGGGAGCTCCTGGGGATTGATCTTGTGATCCTACAATAATAGATTTTTTTTAAAAAATGCAAGCCAATTACCGTATTTTTCGGAGTATAAGATGCACCTTTTTCCCCCCTAAAAGGGGGTGAAAATTTGGGTGTGTCTTATACACCGAATGTAGCCCCGCCCACCCACTGGCCCTCACCTTTTGGCCTCTGCCTCCTAGCAATTTACCTCCTTGCAGCAAGCAGCAAGAAGAAACAGCCCGTTTCAGCTTCAGCACAGCCTAATTAGCACAAGTTCGTTGTCCGTTGGATCGACCTCCCGACTCTCAGCTGTTTCAGGCTGCAGGGATTGCCATTGCCTATTGCTGCGCAGGCCTCTGCTGCTTGCTGCAAGGAGGTGAATTGCTGGGAGCAGATTTTTTTTTTCTTGTGCTAATCAAGCTATGCTGAAAACAAAAATGAAAGTAAAACAGGCTGTTTGCTGTTTACTGCAACAAGGCAAAATTGCTGGGAGGCAGAGGCAGATTTCTTTTTCTTGTTTTCCTCACCAAAAAACGTAGGTGCATCTTATAGTCCGGAGCGTCTTATGCTCCGAAAAATACAGTAATTCCTCTAAAAGCAGGCTGCATATCAATAAGGAGGAACCACAGGAAGGTGCCTTTCGTTCTGTTCGATGTTACTTTTGACCTACCAACAAACGTTCATTTCCACAGCCGTAGAGATGCCAGTTGGTTAATTGGTTGTCTTCTCTTGGCAGAGGGGGAATGGTGTGCCGTATTTGGAAAGCCATCGTGGACCACCGACAAAACCTGTCCAAACAGCAGCTACACCAGCAACCGTGAGAAGAAAAAAGAGGAAAGGAAGCCTTGGATTTCTTTGCAGGACCACAATCTCTGGTCGCCCAGTCCATCTTCTCACCAGCAGTTGAGATATAAGGCTGGAAAGATTTTTTTAACTTGTCAGTCCTCATATTGAGGTCAGAGATTGGCTTTTTCATCTTTCCTTTGGCCCAGGAAAATGACCCCTCCCAAAAAAATCATCTTTAGAGCAAACAGATTTGGGGAGAACGTCACAGTTTCCGTGGAAGACTTTCTGCTGAATTTAGCAATATGCATTATGGACTGAGGAAAAAAGCAGAAAATGTTTTCTTGCTGAAAGTACCAAAAAAAGGACTGAAGAATGTTGTGATACTCTACCGTTATTAGAGAGAGGGGCTGCTCCAGGATCAGGAGTTTCTTTGTTGGAGCCTCATCTTGGCTACGGAGATCAATTTGGCAATTTTGGACTGCTCTACGTCTCCTCCCCTCCAAGTCTGCAGTCCAGAGGTGGGTTTCAGCAGGTTCTGACCAATTCTGGAGAACTGGTAGCGGACGTTTTGAGTAGTTCAGAGAACCGGTAGTAAAAATTCTAACTGGCCCCGCCCCCATCTATTCTCTGCCTCCCAAGTCCCAGCCGATCAGGAGGAAATGGGGATTTTGCAGTAACCTTTCCCTGCCATGCCCACCAAGCCATGCCACGCCCACCAAGCCACACCCGCAGAACCAGTAGTAAAAATTCTGACTGGCCCCACCCTCATCTATTCCCTGCTATCCAAGTCCCAGCTGATCGGGAGGAACTGGGGATTTTTTTAAAAAAAATTGATTTATATGCCGCCCTTCTCTGGAGACTCAGGGCGGCTTACAATGTGCTAAGCAATAGCCTTCATCCTTTTGTATATTTATACAAAATTTTGCAGTGATCTTCCCCTGGGGTGGGGTGGCAATGGAGATTTTATAGTATCCTTCCCCTGCCACGCCCATTAAGCCATGCCACACCCACAGAACCGGTAATAAAAAATTTGGAAACCCACCACTGCTGCAGTCTCTAGTGAAAAACCCAGCAATGCAGCTGTAGGAGTTGGTGGTGGTGTCAGCAGTGGTGGAAGTCAAGTAATTTAACAACCGGTTCTCTGCCCTAATGATTTCTTCCAACAAACCAGTTTGCCAAAGCGTTCAGAAAGTTAACAACCGGTTCTCCCGAAGTGGTGCAAACTGGCTGAATCCCACCACTGTGCGTTAGTTGGATGAGAGACACTGCAAGCCAGGCTTTAGGGGAGCTCGAGAAAGTAAAGAGGACTTAATGGGACTGCTTATGTGTCTCTGGATCTCTACAAGGAACGAAGGTGGGGTGTGCAGAGAAGCTTAATAAAAATGGTTATTTAAAACTACAGTAGGAATCATCGGCCGTGTGCATGGAGAACACTGGAAAGGGGCAAAGGTGACCATAAGGTAGTTTATTTCCTTGAAATAAGGTGGGTGTTCTTAGTCGTCCCACTGTAGAGGTTTTTCACAAGAGTTCTGTAGAAGCCCCGTAAGACGGTAAGAAGAGGCAGACTTCACATATCAATACAGTTATTATTCTGCCTTTGTCTCAGGGGCCATCGCTTTTTTTCCAGCCATCAGGAACCTGATCCTAGGAAAAAAAATCTCTCAAAACCAAAGGGGTTGTAATGAGGGTACAGTCATCAATTTACCACCAGGCTAATCCTTCCTGATAGCAGAGGAATCCTCAGCCAAAGGCTAGGATGAAGTCCTTGAACTCAGGTTGGTCCTCAAGGGAAGAGTAGCTTCCACCCACTGTTGAGGTTGCTGGAATATCATCTCCCAGGTGTGGCGCTCTTCCTCTGTTGAATCCATCCAGGGGACTGGTAGACCATAGCTGTTTCCTGCATTAAAAGCAGAGTCTCAAGTCAGAGCTTACCTTATACAGTATATACATATGAAGAACGGTTGCAGGAATTGGGTATGTCTAGTCTGATGAAAAGAAGGACTAGGGGTGACATGATAGCAGTGTTCCAATATCTCAGGGGCTGCCACAAAAAAGAGGGAGTCAAGCTATTCTCCAGAGCACCTGAAGGCAGGATAAGAAGCAATGGGTGGAAACTAATCAAGGAGAGAAGCAACTTAGAACTAAGGAGAAATTTCCTGACAGAACAATGAATCAGTGGAACTACTTGCCTCCAGAAGTTGTGAATGCTCCAACACTGGAAGTTTTTAAGAAGATGTAGGATAACCATTTGTCTGAAGTGGTGTAGGGTTTCCTGCCTAAGCAGGGGGTTGGGCTAGAAGACCTCCAAGGTCCCTTCCAACTCTGTTATTCTATTTCTATATGATAAGCCTATTTTGCAGGCTGTCTGATTTCTAAAACAATTTTTCTGGATAAGAACTATACACACACACAATACAGAATGTCACTGTTACTCCTAGGCTCAGGAGCATACAATTACATCCTCAAAGAAAGACCTGTGCGCATGCAGCACTGGCTACCTAATCTTCGACAAGGAGTTGTAGACCTCCTCTTATTCAATTATCTAGGGATGTGGAAAACTGACTGTTCCCCTTTTGGGTCATCTTGATTTGGGGAGTGGGGGTGGCATTTGCTAATTTTCCAGACATTGATTCTCCAAACCGTGTGGTTTGAAGTAGTATTCAAGACATTGTGTTCTAGATCTGGAGTCTCCAACCTTGGCAACTTTAAGACTTGTGGACTTCAACTCCCTGAATTCCTCAGCCAGCAAACTGGGAGTTGAAGTCCACAAGTCTTAAAGTTGCCAAGGTTGGAGACCCCAGTTCTAGATGACACTTATTTTGGGATTGGGTTACTGTTCTAGAACAAGCAGGGGAGTTGATTTCTGGAAAACTGACAGAATTACCCCAGAACAGAGGAGGAATGGAACATTATGAAGTTCTCTAGTATTTTCTTTTCAAAACAATAGGCTTTGTACATCCATCCTTCGTTATTTTAATGCTTTGATGTCTCACCTGTGCCAAGACTCAACCGGATGCCTCCAAGCCGATGCTTCGAGAAAGTCTCCCGTTGCCACACAGTGAATTCGGCACATGCCTCTGCTAAGTCCTTACCCTCAAAGCCATCATAGACCATAGTGTGATTGAAAGTGGGGTTGAGAGTCTTTTTCACAATTCGGGTCTTCTGGCGGCTCAACTTGGTGTCATCAGGGAGGATGTAGCTAGAAGAGGATGATAAGGAGATAAGATTGATATTTTTGAAGGTTCGCCCTGAACTGGACAGGAAAGAGTTCTTCAATTTGGAAGCTGTTCTTTTAGTAATAGCCACGCTTCCAAGTTCCTGGCTTGCTGTTGTCAAACTAATACAGTGCAAGCTGAGCTCTTTGCAGGGATATTTTTTTTATTTTATTTTTTTATTTTTTATTTGATTTATATGCCGCCCTTCTCCGGAGACTCAGGGTGGCTTACAATGCATTAAGCAATAGCCTTCATACTTTTGTATATTTTATACGAAGTCAGCTTATTGCCCCCACAATCTGGGTCCTCATTTTTCCTACCTTAGAAAGGATGGAAGCCTGGGTCAACCTTGAGCCTGGTGAGATTTGAACTTGCAGTAATTGCAGGCAGCTGGTGTTAATAACAGTGCTTTAGTCTGCTGCGCCACCAGGGCTCTTGAAATCCAGCAGGTTCTAACAGGTTCTGGAGAACCGGTAGTGGAAATTTTGAGTAGTTCGGAGAACCGGCAAATACCACCTCTGGCTGGCCCCAGAGTGGGGAGGGAATGGGGATTTTGCAATATCCTTCCCCCAGGAGTGGGGAGGGAATGGAGAGTTTGCAGTATCCTTCCCCTGGAGTGGGGTGGAAATGGAGATTTTGCAGTATCCTTTCCCTGCCACACCCACAGAACCAGTAGGGGAAAATTTTGAATATCACCTCTGGTCCATTGTATACAGTACAGTAGACCTTTTCAGGGAGGGCTAAACACTGAGAAATCAGGGCTCAAACTAACTGATCCAAACTAATAACATTTTATTTAACAAAAAGAAGCTCTGTGTTAGGATGTATGTATGAGCTGGATCAAGACTATTAAAAAGAGAGATTAAGCCTTTCTCCAGAGGATTTTTCCTCCTTAAAAAGTTTGTTTGCCACTACAATTAATCTATTTATGATATATACTCTTCTTAGATGGACCATCTAGCATTGGGATATATATATATATTCAACCTAAAATGTAATGTTCATTCCAGTCACATCAGATTCCACTACCTTTCTTTGAAAGGTTGACCCAACAAATCACACAATTGTCTAGTTACATCTAAAGAGAAGTGCCCATCCATTGACAAGAGTGTTTGAATTCCATCAGGTTCACTGAGTCCAGAGTTTAAAATTATCCAAGTGCACCATGTGCAAACATCCATCAAGGCTACTATTCTGTGTTGTGCAGGAGCCCATCCAATAGACGGAGATTACTGGGACACAACGAAGGGAATTCCCTAATTGCACAACACAGAGACATAATTTCAACCGGGAGACAGAGCATCCTAGACCAAGCCAAGTCCAAAAATCCTAAGAGAATTCGTGGAAGCCTGACAGTCAAGACAAATCAGCTATCAACAGCTGTGTAGAGATAAACAACATCTACTTGTCATTTAAAAGAGACAATAAAAAATTTAAAAGGTACAAAAAGACCAAAACATCTCCTTACCGGCAATAACACCCAGATAAACAGACTAACATCAAGATTAACACCAAACAACCAAATTGTAAACAACAATCAAGGAACTATCATGAACTCAAACAATCGAACAACAGCCTAATCAAGCAACCACCAAGAACACTTACCAACACAGGGCAAACAAGTTGTATTTAAACAGAGAGCAAACCCCATTCCTTTTTAGCACTGATGATGTTATCTAGTTGGGTAATGAAACATTTGCAAGAAAACAAGTTCTGAGTGCCCCAAGGACCTCACGTGTGTCCATATTTTCCCCCTTTCCCCCTAAATAAGTGTGTGTGGAAGGTGGGGGGGGGGGGTTGTGTCCCTGGCACTGGGTGAAAAGGCATTAACAAATGATCTGAGTGATCTTCTACAAGAATTTAGTGCTTTGAGTGCTGATGCAATAGAATAAGTTGTCTAGAAATTCCTTCTTTCTTAAGAGTTTTTACCTTCCCTCTTATAGGTATATGGGGTTAAACCAGGGGTGAAATCCATCAGGTTCTGACAGGTCCTGGAGAACCGGCAGCGGAAATTTTGAGTAGTTCGGAGAACCGGCAAATACCTCTGGCTGGCCCCAGAGTTGGGTGGGAATGGAGATTTTGCAATATCCTTCCCCTGGAGTGGGGAGAGAATGGAGATTTTGCAGTATCCTTCCCCTGCCACACCCACCAAATCACGCCACACCCACCAAGCGACGCTCACAGAACCGGTAGTAAAAAATTTTGAATTTCACCACTGACTATAACCCTTCAAAGTATAGATAACAGATTCGTTTTAAATACAGTTGTTTTCCTGTCATCAAAAAGAGTTTTTGCAGAAAGAACAAGGAATATAGTGAAGGATTAATTTGGTGAAAGGAGGAGAAAAAAAGACAGGCGGACAGATTGAATAATTGTGATTGTCCTACTGAGAAAGGCAAGGGACATCGAGATACATCGATATATATCAAGCTATGTAATACTTAAAACCAGCCTGGCCTTCAGTTTCTTAGCCAACCCAAATCTTTCTTCATTACAAGAGATTTACAACCACTGATAGTTACCACTGAACGAAGGTATCTGCTGTGATTCCCCACCGAGGTACAAGGTTCTCTGCATTCTTGATCCACATATGGAGTTCTCCGGTGGGAGGAAGTCCTGGCTCTGAAACACAGTTATGTTAAGAAAGGGGACTCTGGAAGGCAGACCCCTCCACCCTCAACACGATGCCAACCTCCAGTTCAATACCCCTCCTTAGCCCAAATCATCCAAAGATTGCAGATCTGTGTCACTTATTCTAGATCAGTGTTGGCAAACCTTTTTGACACTGAGTGCCGAAACGGGAGAGCGCGCGTGCACGCATGTGCCAGAAACTGGAAGAGCAGCTGCCCAGGGCACATGCGCGCGCCGGGCGGCTGCTCTTCTGGTTTCCGGCACACGCATGCGCCCCGGCCAGCTGGTCTTTGGGCGCATGCATGCGCACCAGAAACCAGAAGACCAGGTTGCCAGTGTGCATGCACGTGCCAGAATCTGGAAGAACATCCATCCAGCGTGCGCATGTGCACCAGACGACTGCTCTTCTGGTTTCTGTGAAGACCAGCTGACCCGTGCGCCAGAATCCATAAGAGCAATGGGAGATGGCTCGCGTGCCCAGAAAGATGGCTCTGTGTGCCACTTCCGGCACGCATGGCATAGGTTCGCCATCATGGCTCTAGATTTTAGAACCCG